CGGCAATCTTCTTGGCCGCTGACGGATAGGCAATTCCTCTCCTGTGTTTATTTTGTGTTGAACTAAGCCAGTCTTTCCTATGTCAGCATCGTTTGATGAGAATACATCGGCATACTTGAGTAACAACTTCTTCGCTTTGGCCATTTCATTCGGGGAGAGAACGCTGCGACAGTCTTCTAAAAGTGTGCTCACTCTCGTTTGTGCATCCTTGGTGGGGGTCCCAGTCGATAGATATTGGCACCGACGTAACCAATCCACTTCCTCACAAGTAGCAACCCGTGTGCCTTTTTCTATAATCTGTTCCTGGCCACAAAGGTTCAGCACACGTACTCCTGAGATGTTAGTGGTTCTGACCAAGGTTCGAGCCACTTTCCATGGAAGGTCATTTTCTAACCTTTCCACGAGTACACAACGATGAGGTTGCCCAGGATTCCGAGGAAGACTAACCGGCACAATCGTTTCCGATCTAGGCGGAAGAACAATCTTCTCAAGGCTGTACACGTTCCCTGGTAACGCTCCTTCCACAAAAAGTTCCTCTTGTCCACATTTCAAGACACCTTGCTCAACGTCAATGGCACAACAATTCTTCCTCATGAAGTCAAGGTCAGGATGCAGTCGTCCATTATATCAGCCACGATGACATTATGCAGGTAGATCATGTTGCCTAGCTTCAACTCCATCTCTTTCTTTCCACGGACGGGTATACGCTGACCGGTGGCTGTTACCAAATTAATGCGTTCTCGGTTGTATGCGGAGTCCTTAAGGAACTGACTTATTAGTTGGGAACTAACAACCGTACGAGAGGCTCCAGTGTCTATGGTCAGTTTACACGGCATTCCGTTGACCTCGCCCTTGATGATTAGACTGTTCCCATCGTGGGTTTGTGAGATCGAGATCCTTGGGGCTCTTTTAACATCAGCCAGCACCCGCCCCGCAGTTCTGGCTTTTACTCGTTTCCCTGCTGCTGCTGGGCGGTGCTGTTGGCCGCACTACCCTCCTGAGATCGTTCACCTTCCCTTTCTGGGGTTCGCTTAGGGCAGCTGGATCGAAGGTGGCCCTTTTCCCCACAGCCGTAGCACCTAGCACCTCCATACCCATCCATACCATACCCATACCATAGCACCTCCTTTGTTTGCAGTCGCGAACTGTAGCTGCTGCAACCTCCCTGACGCGATGGGAACGATGATCCTGCCGCACGGCTTCCACCTCCAGTGCATGGGCCAAGGCGTCCTTAAGCGTCTCGTGGTGCCCGAGCCTCACAGCAGCTCTGACTTCCAGGTCGCGGATGCCGTCGATGAATGTCTGCACCAGGTTCCCTTCAATGAGCGCAGGTACAGACCGGTATGCTTTTCGCACCAGCTTCTCCACCTCTAGAGCCCACTGCTGCAGGTTTTCGTTGATGCGCTGCACGCTATCTTTAAGCTGCGCACGAAAGACGTGTTCCAGGTGAGCGTCGCCATATCTCGCCTCCAATGCCTCAAGGAGTTGCTCATAAGTCACTTCCTCCCCGAGAGCTTCCAGAACAGTTAAGGCCTGGTCGCGCAGGCCTAGTGTGAGAGCAGTCATGGCCTAACTTTTATTCCAGCCGTTCGCCTTCATAACAGCCTCGAACTGGATTTTGTAGGCTGACCAGGAAGAAGTCCCGTCGAACGGTGGCACTTTGAACCCACGTAGCGAAGGTGTAGTAGCTACTACGGGAGCTGTAGTTCCATCACCCAGTTTGAGGTCGTCCAGCGTTTTCTTCACGTCAGCCACCACGTAATCAACCCGATTTTTCACTTGGTCGATTTGGGTTTTAGCTTCCTTGATTTGAGTTTTAGCTTCCGACAGGCGGTTGTCATGTTGAGCAACCCTATCCTTCACCTCCTTTATCTCTTTCCCAAAGGTAGCATGAAGGTCCTTAATGAGGAGCATCTGCTCTTCCGACCGACGGGCCTGTTCCTCCTGTCGGCGGGCCTGTTCCTCTTATCGGCGGGCCTGTTCATCCTGTCCGCCCCGCAGCTGCTCTTCCAACCGACGGACCTGTTCCTCCTTTTGGCGAGCCTGTTCCTCCTGTCGGCGAGCCTGCTCCTCCTGTCGGCGAGCCTGCTCCTGCAGCATCACCATCAGAGCACCTAAGTCAGGTGCTGCAGATGTAGGAGCTACTGACGGGCCTGCAGCCGACGGCTGTCCCTCCGAAATCTGCGACGTTGCACCACCAAATCTTCTTTGGTCCGTCTCCTGCTGGCGTTGACTTCGGGTACGGACACCCTCCGTTTCCTCCTTAGGTAAAATCGGCATGATTTTATCCCACTTCTGACACCAATTGTTACGAGCTTGAGGTTCGTGACAATAAAAATTGCCGATAGAATTACCTAAATTAACACTTTAATTCACTTTACACTAATTAAAGTTAAAAACACTAATAATTAATCACACTGATTCACTTTATTCCGCTCCGAAGCTTCGCTTGTGTCGCCAACTTCAATACTTCCCCGATCGCGTATTGCAGCGCCTTTATATAGGGCTCTTCCACGAAAACATCCAGAATATTCCAGAATATTCGAGTAAATACGCGCGCCAACCAACCAAGCGCAGAAAGATCGAGTGTAGAGCTTCTAGAAAGTTTAGTTCTTCAATTTGATACTAGATGGCGCTGTCGGTTAAAAAATTAGTCATGTCATTTTCTGGAAAGCTCTCTCCTCGCTATTGCCATGAGATGAGATGTCAACTTAGCCGCGCAACATTATGATGTTATCATCTTTCTATGGAGCTTACTTCATCTCAATAATAAAATAGTAGGAATTAATATTTGATTAAGATGTACCTATTTATTTTAATCAAACATACTATCTACAGTAAACTATTAAAAGGAAACTCGCACGTGGAGGAGTCGATATCATCGTAAGATAATGGTCTGTCATCTGGTAAAGTAAATGATAATTGATGGCTCTGGAAAATTAGACACAGTTAACACTTGTTTGCTTTTATTATTGTTAAATTTAGTGTAGGTAGTTATAATTAAAATGATGCATAAGACGCGTGCTGTGAGAGATCGCAAAATTCCGTACACAGAAGAATGGTAAATAAATATTGTTATTATTATTTTACATTGTGTATATTTTGTTATGTCATGCCAAATTGCCAACGTAAAAAAATCGCGAAAACAAAAAAGTCAAGATCAAGTAATGAAGTTCAGAAGGGAGAACCTGAGCCCAAAAACCGTAAATGCTGTACTTTTTGCTCTTACAAAAAAAGAGAATGCCTAAATTAATGTGTTATACGTACAGAAATCAGTATGTTGCGAGCACAAAGTTTATGTGTGTGTAGACTGCTCTAAGATTTAAGCTAGTCTGTGAAAGTCTGATTTAATTTAATAATTGTGCTAAGAAAAAGTCATTAAATAGTAAAAAACATATAAGATAGTAAAAAAATAAAGTTACCATTGATTAATCGAAAGTTACTTTTTTGTACGAATATAAGCAGATTGTTTTATTTTGTTGTAATATAAATAGCTGTAATTAGAGTCTTCATTAATGAATCTGTGTTTTGTTACTAGAATAAATGCTTATCTTACGGGTCCTTAAAAAATCGCAAATAATTATACTTATTTATATGGTTATGGTATGGGCACAAATGATTATTTATACATGCACGCCTCTGAGGCGTATGTTAAAGCTTTATGTATCTCTGAGATAGATTAGCGCTTCTAGGGTTAATATAATGTGTATAAATAATATAAATATAATATAATGTGTGATATGGATGTAAATTTCGAGGTTTCTTGGGGCGTTGATTACAAAAATGACATATACTTTCAAATTCAAGATGGTGAACATATATTTTTTAAAGTTATTGTTGTCAACTTTGAGTTTATTCGGGGTGATGATTAAAAAAACGCCATTCATTTTCATATATAAGATGGCGGACATTTTTTTAATAATATGATATGGGTATCAATTTCGAGGTGTCTTGGGGTGCTGATTAGGAAAATATAATCTATTTTGAAATCCAAGATGGTGGATTTTTATTATAATATGATACGGAAGTCAATATTGAGATTTTTTGGAGTGACAATTATGAAAATTTATTAATAGGTATTGCATTTAAAAATTTCAGATGCAAATTATGGATGGAATTTATTTAGAGACCTGATTTAGTTGGAAGAACTTTCGAAAGTCTAAAGAATACATACATTTACAGTTTGCATTTCGAAAAGAGTATACACGGGAAGAAATCACTGAAGAAAACAGCTATACTAAAGTTACTTTTACTAACCAACGACTGTTGATGACGATGTAGATATAAAATAAATAATTAAATTAGTCAAAGTTGTTGATTTGTAACAACCCTAGCCTCCTTGCATTGTCTAGACGTTGTCGGCATTTACCACGAGATCAAAGGCGTCATCCTAGGAGTTGAATAAAATCTCACGACATCTCACCAGGAGGGAAGGAGTTACAGAAATTTTAAAAAACACCTCACGTAATTTATGGACGCCTCCTAATTCCTTCGTTAGATTCACTCTTTCGGTGGATAGAAAGACTATTGAAGAATGGCGGAGAAAATGTTTTTACTTTTTATTTTTCTTAATGTGCTATATGTAATGGATATTAAAACCAGCCAGATATAAACAATACAACCAAAGACATTTTTATTCAATTTTGTACAAACAAAATACGAATAAACTTTTTTAACGATCTATTATATTTGTATTATGAAGACGATACGTCAAGTTATTAATCTTCAATTTTGTGTATTGTTTTAGTTTAGTGCCATAATAGAGTTATTAATAAATATTATATTAATTTAGACTGTAAATAATAAATTTTTAAAAGACTGGCAGTTCGACCAAGAGGCAGAATCGAATTATTGAACATTAAGATGCTGATACGAAATACATTAACTATATCATTTATTAAAAACAGTTTATCAATATATACTACATAAACGATATAAAATGATTGTCATATTCACAAAGTTATAGACCGGGTTTTTAAACGTCAACTTCTAATACTAACTTTGTATCCTTCTATACGACGAATGTGCGTCGGTGGGTGGGGAATAACTTGCCGGAGGAGGTGGAACTGGTGGTGCTTCTTGTAGCGCTCCTGTAGACTTGTGCACGTTGCATCGCACTGCCGCCTGATTTTCCTGCTAAAAATTAAAAATATTAATATAAATATAACTGTAATGTGCTTTTGTAACCTAAATGTATCGCAAAGTACAAATTTATAAAACATTTCCAACGAACTAAAGATTAAGAGACTTACACTCGATTTCTGAGAGACTAATCAAACTGTTTTAAGCATGCACAACTGTTAACGACGATGTCAAACCAATTCGGTTTTTTAAACGTTATTTTGTGGAAAAAATAATTACATAATGTTGATTATTTTATTTGGCATGTAGACTGTAATATATACCAGGCGGTCCCATAATGAACTGGCCTGATATAGTTCAACGCGACATGTCGCTACATGTTGTGTTGCATTAAATAGTACGTTTATCGTGCACTTAATATAAGAAACATGCATCGACATGAAATGCTTAGTCTTAGTTTAACAGGCATTTGAATAACGAGAGTCGCGTATTTTTTCAAAATGTCGAAAACTGAGTATCGAAGTGTCATAAAGTTTCTGTTTAAAGAAGGTTTATCCCCTGCCCAAATAAAAGAACGATTGGATGGCGTGTATAAGGAGTCTGCCCCCTCCTATAGCACAGTGAAAAATTGGGTGAAAGAGTTTCGCCTCGGGAGAGAAACCGTCGAAGACTTTGGCCACGACGGTCGACCTGTGGAAGTGCTCACTCCCGAAACGATTGCTCTTATCGAAGAGGAGGTTCTGAGTGACCGCCGCTTGAAGATTAGAGAAATTGCAGCAAGGCTTGGGCTCTCTAAGAGTACCGTTCATCGCGCGATCCATGAACATCTTCACATGAAAAAAGTGAGTGCAAGATGGGTACCGAAACTTCTTTCAGCGGTACAGAGACAGGAAAGAGTGCGCTGCGCTTCGGAGTTTTTGGATCTTTGTGGCGAAAATGCAAAGACTGTGATCGAGCGGCTAGTGACTGGTGATGAAACTATGATTTTGTATTATGATCCACAAAGCAACCGCGAGTCAATGGAATGGCGTTATAAGGGTGAAAAGCCCCCTAGAAAGGCAAAGGTGCAACAATCGACTAAAAAAACTGATGTGCACAATATTTTGGGATTTTCAAGGCATTTTGATGGTGGATTTTAAAGAACGTAATACAGTTGTGAACGGCGAATATTATGCTTCTTTAATATATAAATTACGAGACAAGATAAAGGAAAAACGAAGAGGCAAGCTGTCTAAAGGTGTCCTGTTGCTCCATGACAACGCCCCTGTTCATACCGCTGGTGTTTCGAAGGATGCAGTTCGTCAATGCGGGTTCACAGAAGTTCAACATCCACCTTACAGTACAGACATGGCCCCGTTCGACTATTATTTATTTCCAAATTTAAAGCGGGACTTAAGAGGAAGAAAATTTTCAAGCGATGAAAAGTTGCAGGCGGCCGTCTTCAGTCATTTTGAGGATAAAAAATGTGATTATTTTTATAAAGGTTTAGAGATGTTGATTCACAGATGTCAGAAGTCTGTTAGGTATTCATGGTGATTATATTGAAAAATAAAATTGGTTTCGTTTCATTTCCTTCATTGGTTCATAGTTAGGCCAATTCATTATGGGACCGCCGTATATATATATATATATATATATATCGCACATATGTTGCTATTACGTCACTTATGCAAATGATGTATTTTTTCAGGAGAAGCGTTTGAAAATTCAACATCCTATCACAGCATATAGTTCATCTCGATTAAGGAAATAAAATTATGATATTTAAACTCCATTTTAAAGTAAAAGCAAACATCTCACTAATTACTATTAAAAAAATATAAACGTTTAAATATTACTACCCTCTCAGAAGTGACGTTATGGCACTAGAAAACAATTAACCAGACAATTATGTCAAAACAAATAAAACACGAAATCATACATTTCTAAAAAATTTATTGTTATAATACCAAATGAGTATAACAAAATTTCTTAAAGCTACATTTTCTATTAATCAGATTTTTATATAAGATGAATAACATTCATCTTCGCACTATTAATTAGGCGAAGTTTTCTCTTCAATCATTGATCAATCGCGTTTGGCATTTAAAAAATATAACTACGCAATAATGAACTGTATCATATTCTTTTACTCAATTCTAATACAAATTTGGTAAAAAAATCTTAAAAAACAATTATTATGACTCCAGGTTAATCAGGGGCGTTCACCGTTGTCAATTATCCATAGAATTTTACTACTTATTAGGCATTTTAATCACAGTCATTGTATACGTTTGATATTTAAATCTAATTACATAGTAATCAACAATATCAAATACAAATTCTTTTACTTTTTAATTAACATCATGTTCATACCAATTTGGTAAACATTCTTAACTTAAAATCACTGCGACATTCCCAGGAAAATCAGGGAGTTTCTAACGCTGTGGTTACAATAAAGTTGTTTTCCCTGCAAGTATAAATGTGACTTTGATATAAGTAAAATAAAAATTATATGAGATCATTGTAAAAAGTTTCATAGTATCTTGGCACGAGATTAGTCTCCAGTAATTGCGTTAAATCAATCTTTTTGCGTTCTGTAATTGGTATTTTTGAAGTGTAAGCTTGCTTCAAGATAATTTCATCTATTCTTCGATTGCCTCTATTGCCGCGTAATTTTTTGGTTGAACAATAGTTTTTACTTCTTCCCAGTTTTCAGTTTTAGGAAGTCAATACTATTTCGTTCATTCGTTTCATTAGTGGCAAATAAAATAGACGGAGAGTTACTAGGGTTTTCTAAAGTAGTATCATCCTGCTCTGGAGTAGTTGTTGTTGGGTCATCTATGTTGGCTGGTGCTACTTGACTCTCAGAATTTGTAGGATGAGACAATGTATTTCTTTGTTCGGAATATGGCATCCTCGTAGAGTTGGCTAAATCTTGCACTGCAACCGAATTTAGATTGCCATTTGAAAGTGCAAGTAACACAAGGTTTTTGCGGCGTTAATTCATTTAAGGTCTGAAAGAAACAAAATACCTACGTAATAATAACAAATAGGTAAACAAAAAATAAATGATCGACTGATTTATCGATATTATAATTTATAACTTTTAATTATCACAAAATATTTACTTATTAGATTGCTTTAAAGAATCAATTCATCATGTCGGAACAATTATCATGAAAATGTAAAATTAGTATAAAATGAAAACATTAATCCTACTATATTGAAGCAATATTGTCACAACTGTTAGTGTAATGTTAACTTTATAACATAAAAATACAAAGGTTGGGGAAACAACGTCACTACTTACACATGTGGCACATTGTTGTTTCAAGATACAAACGTCACAACTAACTGTCGTTATTGCTCCAAAAAGATAAAAATAAATTGTCACAATTACCTTAGTAATGTTGTAGCTCCAAGAGACTGCTTCTTGTGCGGGGGGCCGTGCGTAACTGACCAATGAAACGTTGTCCTCCCAGTGGCATCCAGATTCGCGCCAAAGCCATAACGACACTAGTGTCCTCACGCGAAAAGTATGCGTAATACACAAGCGACGATAACGCACCAAGTAAAGAGGCAGATTGGGTGTATTTTCTCATACTCAGTTCAGTTTTAATAAAATTGCATAAGTGACGTTATAGGAACGTATGTGCGATATATATATATATATATATATATATATATATATATATATATATATATACTACTACGCTACTACAATTTGGGTGTCTTCAAGCAAGAGTAGGCTTTAGTTACGATAAGACAGTGTAATTTACCATTCAGGCCTTCATCACCGCTTGCCACCAGGTGGGATTGCGGCGGCTTAAAACAAGTTAAAAAATATATTTCTATTTAAAAAAAGTACACCGGGTATCTGTACTAGATTACTATATGTTATTAATGTATGATATTACAATTGTAATCTTGAGTAGGTCGTAAATAATAATGCATAAAACTTAAAAGCAAGTACTATAGTACCATTGTAGTAATAACAAAAGTATACTATACCATTTGATTATATTATCTCTTCACTCCAAGACCCTTCATACTTTACGATACTTACAAGCGACTAGTATCCTACACGAGTCTCGAGGGTGAGTCGCTACAGAGTATTGTACATACATTTTCATTGTGACCCGCATATATCGCTACCGGTATCGTACGGGTAAGAAAACTATATAGTATTGCGATACTTGCCATGTCGGTCATCAGTGCCTTGCGTCTCCAACGGATCTCTTCAAAATGGCGGCGGAGAAAATTTTATTGTTAAAAGCTGTATTTTTTTATCAATAGCAGACAATTGGCAATTGAACAAGATGCAAATAACATTCGGTTAAATTATATTCTAATATATATTCTATCATCTTGTGGTTTTCGTGTAAAAACAAAAGTTTTACAATTTATGTTTCCGTCGATGAAAGGATAAATCCAATATTTTCATATTTTTTTCTGACATTTTCTGTTTTATTTCTGAGAGAAACTGCAAGTACTTCTTCATTAGCAGAATCATTCGAAATAACGACAGTATTAAAAAAATACTTCATTCAACGGTGTGTCGTACTAAATTATCATTTTAAATAATAACAATAATAACGTCCGCCAGACCGAATTTCGGTCACGGCGGTCAGTCGCAACGGAGGCTAGCCACCTGCGCAGGACAGGATTATAATGCCTAAGTGTATGCACAAGCATTCATACACTCTCTATTCAGTCACTCTCATAGTCCGATGAGACGGTAATTCGACACAACCGGAGACAGATCAGGCGCAGGACCAACGGCTTTACGTGCTATACAATTTAAGGAAGTAAAACACCACCAACTTCCTAATGAGTATTTCTTGAAAGAACAGAATAACTGATTTTGGCCCGATCCAGCCCACTAGACCAACGTGGCAGTCAATTATACTATGATTTTCAATAACGTCATATACAAAACTCTAGTAGCGAACAAGAATATCTATCTACTGGTATCTAATCAAAATATAGTATCTCGCTAGTATCATAATGATGAAGGGCCTAAAGAATAAAAAGATAGAGTTAACATAGAAGTAAATTAATATACATTTTTGCCAAATATTTATGAAGCAAACAAATTTCTGATCTTACTGCAAGAAAGCCATCCAAACATGCATTTCATAGCAGCGGGAGCATGTTCAAAAATAAACAATTACCAGTATTTTATAAGCCTACGAAGAATATAATTTACTCGAATATTCTCGTAACTAAAGAAAATGTTATAAACAAAGTATTTAATGTAGTGTTAACGTTGGATCGCAAGTTCCCAGTAATACACAGGCTGTTTAAAAATGTAGTGTTAAACGGAAGACCAGAGGAGAGCATCCTTAGCAGTACTTAAATTAACTCCTTTATATGTACATTGCGCGTTTTTAATTTTAAGTTTTTAATTTTTTTAATTTTAACTATGTTTTTTCACCAAGAGATTAGGCGCTTATGCATTACTATTACGGCTATGCTAGAGGTAATGCTTTTGAAGTCGCCAGATTGTACAGGGAGAAAATTCAAAATAGCAGTGAACCTCAACCTGTAACTTGTCCTGATCATTGTATGATTATGATGGTTCATAGTCCAAAGGTCGAGGAAGCGACAACTAGTGGGGAAGATGTGTTCTTGAGGGGCAGCCTGGTATCGGTAAGTGAAGTGTTAGGTGGCCGCTCACCAGTTGAACAAGTTTAATCATTTTGAAAATGTGTGTGGGCGAATGGTTCAAATCCCGGCGGCATCGCTATTCCTGGCCACCATGATAAAGGCGTGCAGGGGATGTTTCGAATCTATGGCGAACACTCGGTTGTAGCCGAGAAGAACCTAGTGTTGCACTGGTATATTATAGGATTATCTGGAAAGAAAAGAGGTGGAAGACACCTTCTTAAATCCTCGTATCCACCGACTTGTTCAATCGCCGGTTGGGCGATGCTTCATATGCTGGTTCTGTACTCGAATAACCGTCACAACATGACTATAGCAACGCCCAAAGATGCATACATGTCTATTTGATAAAGTTATGACCTAATAATCGGACTACTTTATTTATAAAAATTTAAAATATAAAGAAGAATATAAACTAAAAAAAAATACTTACAAAAATAAAAATAAAATGTTACTATAAGATATAAGCGATCCGTACCAAATTTTGCACGGGTGATTTCTGAATCCTATCGGGTTCAATCCAAACCATTTTCGAATCAACTTAATCACAGGCACAAAATTTCATCAAAATCGATCCAGTCGTTTAGGAGTTCAGTTACATATACACGGACAGAAAAATTATATGTAAAGATAATGGTCTAAGAGCCATATATAAATTGCAGCTTTATTGAAGTAACATAAATTATTTAAAAAAGGTACTGGCCAACCTATCTGCCATGACGTTGAAACTGCCACAGGTGTCTGCCAATCAAAATGTCAAAACGGCAGATTTATTACTTTCCCGATTTTTTCATTCACATTTTTACACCTTTCACACCTGAGCGTCCCTATATTAACCATCAGCGAAACTAAAGAGGTCTTCATTTCATGTGCCATAGGAGATTAACTGAACAAAACGTGCAGCTAATTGAAATACCGTAAATCTGCCGCCCACTGGCTCTTTAACTATAAGGAGACAATCAATGCGTGTTGCCAGTTTTGACTTATAGATCTGAGACGTGATCCTTCACGGCTGGCCGCAAAGGACCACGTCAGGAAACTCAAGGTCACTCAGTGAGCTAAGAAGATAGCAATGCCGGAATTTCGGAATTTTTCCGATTCGTGTAAAATAATCCATTATTAAGATATATCCGCAGTAGAACCAGTTATAACCGACATATAGCTCAACGGATCGGTAAGCTGAAGTGGCTATGGGTCAACAATAAAGATTGAAAAACCAACAATCGATAGATAAGGAATGCACTCGAGTGGCAGCTTCGTACCGATACCTCACTATATGGAGTGGCGAACTGGGAAAACATACATAAAGTCGTTGGATGCAGCTTTTTTTATAGAATAAGGGTGTCAAACGAGCACACCGTCCACCTGATGGTAAGTGGAGGCTGTGGCCCATAGACATCTACATATAAATCTATCAAAGAATCAAAATTCAGAAACGCTATTACCCTTGTGGACTAGAATAGAATAGTATAAAGTAATTTATATTCAAAAAGATTGCAAGAATACTTATTGAAAGTCATTTATGCTTTTACCACTGATTCAGAAAAAAAAACTCCTCGAAAGTCTATCAAGAAACCTAGCGGGACTTTATTTTAAACACTAATTTACAATATGATATATTGTACAATTATATATTATGAAAACTATTATATAACATTTAGAAACAGCATGGTAGCAATCACTTCATTATCAGCAATCAATCATGTATTCATTAGTAGAATAGTATAATAAAAGTATCCTCGTTTAAAACTGCTCCCGTTTTTGTGGACATACGAGTACATTAAATTTACATAACTACACTGACAGCCCAAAGTTAATATACTAATTTCTTTTAACTTAACTCTAAGATACTCCATCGAGCTTAGGTTCTTGCACTTATGGCTCACTTCTTCCTACTAAATTGAATATCTCGTTTCGAGTAAAAAGGATCGATTCTCGCGAAGTTGCGTAGAATTTTGCGGCTCAATACAAATCAATTCAAAGTGGCTCAGACACTATGAGTATAATTAGGTATAATTACTTTAACTCTCTTTATGAATTTTGAAACTAAGAAAACGCACCTAAAGTTTGAAAAGAATAAAAGAATACAACGTGAAAGTGACTTTATTAATGGAAGTAAAGGCTCTAATAAATGATGTTGCTCAATAGATCATGTCTCTGAGACCAGTAATCAATAAAAAGCCAAGAATGACTAAAAAAATGAAAATTAGTTATTACTCTAGAACTAAAAAAATCATGCAACATGGTGATTCGGGTACTGCAAGGGGTGTATACCTCTAGACTTCTGCTTGATGCTAATTTTTAGGACACTTTAAGTAACTTTCGTATGTAGTAAGGAGTTTATAAAAATACTAAATCATTTATTTTTATAAAATGAGATCCAACGTCTTAAGAGTCTGAAACGAGCAAAAGCAACGAAAAACTGTGGCTGAGCGAGACAACACAACGTACAATTAGCAGATGATTGGTGCGAGATAGATGGGTACAGCATGCGACTCACGAGTTCACGATACTGTATTGGATATGCTTTGCTTACGTGCGTCGTCAGGTCCGGCTCCGAGACCCACTGAAAATTCAACTAGTGTTAGTCTACACTGGGTGTCCTTCAAAAAGTAAATTTTGATTATTAATTGTGCCAAAAAAGTAGTATTATCCCTTTCCGTGACAAATTTTGTACGCCAATAGTGAACACCCGTCTCTCTAAAACGTTTGTACAAACTGCCTCCGAATCTATTTTCTACGACTTTGTTACTGTATATACAGCATTCTCACTTAATTTTAGTAAATTATGTCAAATGTCGCTAAATGTATTATAATATGTATTTTCTTATGTAATGTACTTATGAGCACAATTAAAAAATGCGGTGTTTGATATTATGTATACTGATGTCGTCGAAATGTTCATATAAAATATGTGCACTGAAATTCAACATTTTAATTGAAATCGAAATATAAAATGATTGAATGTGAAAATAAAAAAAAATCACTTCAAATTACCTTGTGGCGAGGTCCAAGGTGTCTGTTCAAGTAATTTGAAATGCTCTTCATTATACCTTTTGTCCTTCTTTCTCTTGCAAGTTCCGGGTCCGAGAATGATGGTGCGACTGGTAAAGTAATTAAAGGGGGCTGTGGTCTCGGGGGCGGGGAGGAATATGTAGGTGGTGGAGGTGTTGGTGGCAGCGAGGGTACCGGTAGGACAGGGGGAGGAGGGACGGGTGGAGGAACACTAGCTGCAGGTGAAACCCTCGTCTTGCGAGTTGATTTCCTTCCAAGCCGGGGTTCATTCCCTAGCCTCTCTAGAACCAACCTCCTAACCACTTCGGTCTGTTCTTCTCTCTCTCTTTTAATCTCCTGTACTTTATCAGTCATATCTCGCAAAGGAGTTGGACTAATAGATGAGCTTAAATTAATTGCGGGCAGCTCCACACTACGTGACGGTGAATCTGTACACCGAGAATTGGACGTTTTAAACGTTTCACTGGCAGATCGGCATATAGCAGGTGAATACAGTCTTATAGAAGCAGGAGAGACCAATGATATAGGTGAATTTTTGCTAGTATACTTAAAATCTCGAAAACGTGATGTATCTTGTGCTAAAGGCGAAGGAGCATCCTCTACTATAATATTATCTTTTAATACTGTATTTTGATGTTTTGCTTTTTCTGTATTTGAATCATTTTCTTCTAATGGAGGCGAAATTTCTGATAAGCTGATAGATTCAAACTTCATTTTCATGTCGTCCAAGTCTTTATTACTACAAGAACCTTCTGCTTCTATTTCAGTATTCATAACTTTATTTTGTATAGCATTCTCACAGCTAGATTTGTCACTTAATTCAAGAGGTGATTTTATATTGCTTTCTACCTTTGGCTCACTCGACTCACATTCTTGTGAGTCATCTTTATCAATAAATTCAATTACTTCAGAAAAATCATTGGTCATTACGTCTCTACTAACATCAAGGCCAGTAGGCGTTACCAAAGTTTCTGAAAAACTTCTTTCAATGAAATTTTTCGATCGATCATTGCTCGGGCAATAAGGACCCAAATTGTCATCAACGAATTCTACGTAACCTTCGTTCCGTGGTGTGACAGGAGTTCCTATCGTTGGATCTTGGTCGCCTTCATCCACGAATTCAAAATGTTCCAATGCGTTTGAATACACAATAGGTTCTAATGGACTTGTTCGACCGCAAACATGTGAAGTTATAGCAGATATATTTTTTGCATCATGCACAGATTTAGGACCACTTAAAGTTCTAGGATTTTTATTTCTCTTCTTTTCTTCTTTTTCTTCTAGGCCACAATCATCTAATACTGCGCTTTCTGCAGCCCAATCAGAGAGTTCTGTCTCGGTTAATGCGAGAGTTGTAGCATCACGACAAGATTCTGATGATTCTGACTCCACTGCAATAATTGTAGGAACTATAGGTGTAGCAGTTCCTGTAGCTCTTTCGTCATTTTCCTCTGTACTGCTATTGATAAGCATTAAGCTGTCTAATTGTATTAATTCTCCGCCTTCGTCATGCACTTCGACTCTAGGTACTGACTGGTTTGGAGCGGTTTCTGTATGGGAAGAATCATCGTCCGAGAGAGAATCTGTTTCCAAATCGGATACTTTTTTTTCCTCTTTAATTAGTTCTCGCCACTCACTCTTACATAACGGTGAATCAACTTTTATAAGTAAGTCAACAGGCGCATCTTCGAATAAGTTCTTAATAATGTCAGGCATAGGTTTTATTTTACTTTCCTCCGAGACCTGCAAAGCAACAACAGGCATCTGTGGTTGAGTCTGGCTTGGGAGTGCAGGTGCTGGATGAAGCATTTTCTGGAACTCTGTTATATTGGTACGGAACGCCTCAAGTTTAGTGTCTAACTGAGAAGTGGAGTCTGATTTTCTCACAGCTGGTGGGGATGGTTCTCCTAGCAAATATCTTCTTTTTAACTCTAATGCACGTTTAGTAGCAAGTCCACCAGCCGAGCGAGTTCTACTGAGTGGGTAATCCTGCGTGGGTGGGGGGGCCGGTGGAGGGGCTTCAGTGACCATAATTGCAGGCGGGGAAGGTGCCGGAGCACATTCCTCGCGGGCAAATTCGCTGTCCGTGGATACTTCTGTAGCTGATGACACCTCTTCATCGCTTGATTCAATTTCATCTTCAGACTCCACCTAATAGCAAAGTGTTACAAAATAATATATAATCATTAAATTCACGTATATTTGACATGATTAACATATTTTAAATTAATTTTATGTATAAAAATATTATTTAAGAAATGGAAGACATTTGAACACTTAGTTCTAATGGCCTTGCCATTTGATTTTAAAACTATTTTTTTAATGTTTTTAAGTTTTCTTGAATAAATAAAGTAGAATAAAATAGTGGATCCGTTTTGACGTTTATTATCGCAACGCTCTTATGCAACTAAGTAAACCAAATAAACCGATTTTTACGATAAATCAATTAAAAGTTGTAAGTTTGTAATCGTTTAAAATTATTACGTCTTGATAGAACATTTAACACATATACTTTTTGTTATACATATAACTTTGTAAGCAACCACGTAAAATCTAATAAAAAACAATAAAACTATCAATTTTATTTTTGTTCGTTTTAAAATAAAAACATACAAAATCTAATTAAAAAAGTAAGAATTTAAAGGACAATATGAAAATTTATTTAAATTTTAGGCCACCTTTTGCTTTTACTATCTTCTAGTATATTTTAGGCGTTGTACTGATTATTTTTTTTAAATAATCTTTATCTAAAGTACGGCCAACAAAAGAATGCGATCCTGACAGGTCGTTATCGAACAGCCGACATAACTTTGAAGTGGCGTTGAACGTAAGATGTCAAAAAAATTGTTTACTTGACATATTAATGTATAATTATCTTTAAAAATATATCATTGTCGACTTAAAATTAATTTTGTACTTTTGCGCTAAATTTAATGTTAAATAAATAAGAAAATAATATTTTTTTAAACTATTCTACACTGTTACAAGGATAGATCCATTGTTTATTTTTGTAGTAGTATGTCAAAATAGCAGGATTTGATAATAAAATAGTGTAGTAAAGTAAAGTTAATAATATTATAAAACGGCGCCAAAACATAACGCTCGAAGGCATGTAGCGTAATATAAATAACTATTTTTGTACTTATATGAAAAAAGAGAATGTAAATATCAAAACCTTCGCGTGTCAATGCCCAAGAGCGACTATAGTGGGTCCCAAAAAGTTAAAACCGGCAAAAATTTTCAATAAAACCACACCATTGCATAAAAGATTAAGTTATAAAACAAGTGTTTTGTCAAAATTAATGAATTTTAATTAATTAATGAAAATTATTTAATTAATGAAATTTAATTACCATTTTCTTTGTTGCGTAGCTCGGTTTATTCGTGCTACGTATCTTGTAATAACATTTTTCTAAAATATCAACCTTCACACTACATTTGATTATAATCAGAGTTACATGTTAATATAAATAATGATAAAACTAAAATAATGATAGTACACGTATGATATTACAATAACAGCAACCCTTGACTTGATCCCAAATCAACTTAATTGTATAGACAGTCGTATGGCGACATCCTCATAATTTTGTACATAATATATTATTTTATGTATATTATATATATGCATGTTTTATAGGTTAGTTTTCTCTCACTAATTTGAACAACTCCGTTTTCAGTGTTCTTGTGGTTTCTTTTAAATAACGTAACGATAGATTTTCGTAACGACAGATTTTGTCCTGTATCGTGGAGGCACTTTATATGCATAAATTTCACAAAGAGAAACTCGGAACAAATACAGACTCGGAACAATCATTTTTAAGCCATACTTGTCCCGTGCGGAATTCGAACCCGCGGCCTTTAACGCTGCAACTCAAATGCTAAGCCATTGCGTCACGGAGCCGTAAATTCATGTCGGCATATAAGTCATTTCTTTATAGCCATGCCACCAAATCTACCTTTTTATTTGTCTAAGCTGGCGCTAGATCAATTTGTACGGAATAATAGAATGAAATATTAGTAATTTACAACAGAACTTGTAACATCAAAATACGTCCTCCTTATTACCTTTAATTAAACGATATTAAACTAACAAAAAGTATCCGAACTGCTAAAGTCCAGAATAGAGCCCAGCTCCTGGTGATAGCAATCAGAAATCGATGCTAGAGATGGCGAGACACAACGAGGGTGTCAATCTGTCATACTGTCAACTATTATCAAAGCATGCTGAGTGGTGCTGGACTACCAGTGTTGCCAATGTTTAATTGAAAATAAAGTATGGTAATGTTTTGTCATTTTAAGGGTACATGTTGTTTTTCCTTAATTTAATTACTTTATTATTATTCTTGATTTTAAAATTATTCTGTTAAAATTTTCTCAGTCAATTATTATAAAAATATGACTTGCAACGCCAAAAAAGGCAGTGCAAGTCTGCCATTTTTTATATATTTTATTTATTTATTTATAATCATTTTTGTACTTTTAATATATTATGTATATTAAATTATCATTCACTCATTGGTAGTTCAAAGTTTTCATTATTGGAATATTGATTGAATTTGGTTATAATTTTTAAGCTATTGCATAGCTTCTATCGCGGGCCTTGAGCGCGGGGACCGAATCCAGAAATTCCGTAACGAAAAAACCTCACGCTCCCCACTCCGACGGGCACGGAGGTGTGGCTTGAAGGCCGTGCATTGTCTAACGTCGTTTCTTTTCGGCAGTCTTCGACACGGCGTTTGTGTGCGTGCAACTAGGCGTATTGTGCGACTCTACGAAGCTCGCACGAATCGAGACGAGCTGCTCCGAAATCGGACGAATACATAAGCAGCTGTTTATGAGGAAGAGTATATAGGTGTATAGGTATTTATGTACAACAGTGAATAGCTGTACTTGTAAAATTTGTGTATAAAGTGTTTTGAATATGAATGAACAAAGTGCATTTATTATTTATTTATTTAATAAAAGAAAAAAATTTGTTTTTTTTTTCTTATCGGTCACCACGCTCAAAAAGTGTAACTTGAATTAATATCAAAGAAAAAGAAATACTGCATAAATAAAATAAATAAATAATTATAATTGCATAAGTTGATACAAAATGCTATGCAATAGCTTTACCGCGGCAGTCCCCGAGTGCCACACGTCTTTTTTTTTATAGTTTATATAGTATAGTTGGGAATAGTTTAAATGGCTGACTGATACAACATTGTATTAATACCCTAATTCAGTAGCGGGATAAATTGTTATACGGTGAGATTTTAGTTAAAATAAAATGTTTGATACGATTTATAAATTACTCTTTGATATTGTTTGTTAGTACGTTCATATAACGTTAGTAAATAATTGCGTTCGAAAAACGTCAAATCGGGTCCATCATTTTGTGACAACTATAATGTCATTAAGATAGGAAACAAAAAGTATAAGTTGTACTAAAATTCGCTATCAGTAATAAGAAGAGTTTTTAATATGTGCTAACGTCACACATATTGCTACAATTAAAAACAAACACATACATATTATTAAGTCAGTGATAAAAACAAAATAGGGAAGATACGGTACTAAGCCGAAATAAGTAGACTACGAAAACAACGTATTACTGTCGCACTATAACCTTTGTTGCGATCGACACTATTGTCGCGTACACACGTACACTGCCCTTGATAAAAATACTTGGAAATTTAAATAGTCATCAAAATGCACTCCTGCTCATTTTAAATATGTGCTAATTCTTTAATCAAAATAAAAAGTCACTAGGAGTCACTTTTATGCGCGTGAACTTTAATTTTTAAAAGCAAATTTTACCAAACAAAACTGACCGGCCACGTTAGTACGGAATCGGGATAGAGCACTATGACCATAGTGCGACTTATTTCTGTTGTTTTCCTGCTGTATGGACACTATAATGTTTGGGCGTACCATATTTTCTCATTTTTGTTTATATCAATATAGAGAGGTGCGCTTTTTACCACACTAACTTACCGTCTGTAGCATAGATGGTACGTTATGTAACTATCTTTTATCCTACTTAAATACATTGATAGTACTACGTCATTCAATGGTACGGTATATTTTGATATATAATAAACAAAATACAAATATGCAAATTACTCAGAAGTATATACAAAGTTCACACACACGTGCACACACACACGTGCACACACACACGTGCACACACACACACATACAGGCGCGCGCGCTCGCGCGCACGTACCTTCGGATCCACTCACGCACGCACTTACGCACACACGATTAGAATAAGAATGGGAGGTGGAGGATGAAGAGTCGATTATGTAAGATTTCTAGTTGTTCCAATCGCCTCGTAAAAGACCAACGGAAAGAAATGTGATGCCGGGTTCTATTACGACACCACCCACACGGTAATGTTATAGTAAATATGAATCATAATATGATAGGATGTACCATACACAAGCAAATAATATATATCACAAAAACACGAAACCACATTCAAAGCGACAAATTAATAACTTATTGTTCTCATAATTTCAGTAATACACATACGATTTGCATAAAAGCAGAGACATAAAATACAAAATTAATACAGTCCAAATTGTAAAAAAAAAAACAATTGGTGAATAACTAATTTTTATTGTTAGCAACTTGCATCTGATTAATGTATCAATGTCTCCTAAGGCTAATTAAATAAATATATATTTAACTAGCGATCCGCCCCGGCTTCGCACGAGTGACTTCTGGATATCTACCGAATACATCATCCAACCAACTAGGGACCCATTCCAACACACACAAAAAAATTTCATCAAAATCTATTGGATGGTTTCAAAGTCTATAACGGACATAGTTAAAAAATTTCTTGTGCTTTATTATATTACAATGAGTTTAATTTAAGTAGTTGACGCCTAGTGGTCCAAAGTCGTCTGCAAACACGCACTAAAGCAGTACGACGGACTTTAACGGACGGAATTGCTGCTTAACCCCGTCACAGAAATAGCTGTGCAACTTTAATTTATTATGACACAGTTTTGTTATAATATTAGGATTTCAGTCGCTTCTAAAGAAATTCATGAATCACATGATGTGGCCATATGACAAAAAATGGAATCAAATGCAACTGCTAACTGAAAACTCATACTTTACGAAATGTTGGACTGTATTATTTTTATTAAATATCAAATAAAACAATAAGTTAATAGAGACGGAAATTAGTGTGGGCGAAATATACACTCATATTTACGCTTTCAGCCGCCGCCCTATGTTAAGTTAAATCGAAGCTAATATTAAGAATCAAAAAACAGGCAATGAAAGACTTAAAGTATGAAAAGTATTTGTGCATTAATTACGAAGGTCTTGTTGATATCATATTTTACCTTCATAAATATCTTATCAATTGCATTATATTGGGTATGGGTATTCGGGTTATTACAAACTGACTCTGTTTTAGTAAAAACATTTGGAATACAATATTAAGTATCTTGTCTCGGTAATGGATAGCTATAAGCGTTGAAATTACTCATTACTACCGAATAATGAGTTGCTTCATTATCAGTTTTAGGAAGTTTGTAAATAACATTGCCAATGACTTATTATTGCATATGAATAGAATAGTATGATATATTAATGCGCAGTAGGGTGGAGTGAAAACGTATGGAGATGTATTTTTTTTTGTTGTTAAATTTGTAACATCATAAAGGTGAAAAGCTGCTTGTGGATGAAATAACGAAGTAAGTTAAATGTCTTTAATGTATTATAATATTTTGTGGTGCCCACGTATGCTAGAATTTTGAATAAATGTATAATTTTATTAACTTTTTACAGCCTCGTTCAGATGTATATAAGCCACTTATAATTTATAGGAATAATATTTCGTATGTTTATTATGGTTATTAGTGTCTGGTATATAGATTTTATAATATATATATATATATATATATATATATATATATATATATATATATATATATATATATATATATATACTCGTTTACTTTAGCTTACTTTATTATTGAATGTGTTTAGAAACAACAGAAGAACAATTTTATAGATTTTTTTTAATTTTGCGTTAATTTTTTTAAGCAAATGTTCTATCCGGGGCAGTTCTAAATTAGATAAAAAAATGTTTTTTCACGTGCTTATTAAACCTATCTCACAGCTTTTTGCAGGAATAACAGAAAAAAACATATTTTTCACACCACCCTAAAGTGCAGTTAAGAATTCAGGCGGCGGCGTGCGCGTGTCATTCCGCAGCGCACCTCCCTAAAGTCGCGCGAGAAGCGCGCAAGTGTCGCGCAAGTGTTGCGCTGCGAGCGCGCGGCCGCTGCGGCCGCGGCGCGGTGTCGCTAGGCGAGCACGCAGCGCGCTACCTCGCTGCTGTCGGTGGGCGGCCGCGCGTCGACAGGCACCTCGCGCCGCCTCGCCTCCCGTGCCGCGCGCATCCGCGAACACGACTCGTTGCCGGATGACTCCGCACCTACCCACAAACCACATTCTTTTAAAACGTTACCCCTACACTAGGATTTCTCCTGTATAATTAAAGCAGTTTACAAAAATAAATTGCACAAGGACAAGTATCCAAACCACGAACATTCATCGCAACAACGAACATTGAACAACTATCACCAAGGGCCGCCCTAGACTATATTGTCGACCAAATTAATAATATATCGAAGATAACCCATAAACTATATGATCTATAGTCTGTTTTCTTTAACAAACGAGTACCAAAAATGTTGACAGCGTTGTTATTGATCCGCGTTATCAACATAGTGTCCGTCTCACACAAACATTGTAGTTACATGCACACCGGGGTGATGCAACTTTGTATGAAAGCTATGTATATAGCTATTTGTATGAGAAATATGTACACAATCATAATTTTGTCAATGTTTGTATTGGGCTTGTAAAAATAATGCGAGAAAAAAATATCGCTGTTTCTTTCCTTCATGTTGTTTTAGATTGCCAGAAAACAGATACTAAATTTATATATATATATATATATATATATATATATATAGTAAGGATGTGGTATCCTGGCAATAAATGAAACCACAAGTAATACCAGTCCATAGAAGTGTAGTAAAAGGGCAGACCGCGGTCCTGCCGCTGTTATTGTACTATTGTAGCAGTACCCGCTGTATACATTCTGTGAAACAAACCCTGTACGAAATAAAGTTGTGAATCTTACCATCATCGGAGAAGTCATCGTAACCAAAAGAGTCATCGGAGAAGTAAAGCATGAGCAGGTCCGATTTGGTCCGGTGTGCAGATCTAGGCGCGGACTCACGAACCGGTTTCGGTGATATTTGCGCTTCATCGTCGCTTTCAACATCAGTCCACTCCTCCGACGATTCCTCCTCCTCACTGCATTGGCGAAAAATTATAATATAATAAATATAATTTTATAAATTAAAGGTTTAGAGCACTTACACAAATATGAAAGTGAACTTATAAATCATATTTTTACATTCCCAACTCACAACGCAAATAAAAAAGGCAATCGATAGTCCTCCCACCTCGTAAGTCTAGGCGTATTTCTAAACAGATATGCTGCCTTTTCCGAAATTCTACAGATGGTGATGGGAGCAACATAACTGCAAAAGTTTTAACTTTTAACCAGTCAGTAGGCGGTTTTTTTAATTACTAAATATAGGAAGAAATACGGCTCTTCTTTATTAGGAATGAAAAAAGCTTTTAATTTTATGATCTTAAGACATTATCCACACCACATATCGACAGATGAGAGGCAAAATGGTTTAACAACAAAGCGAATTAACTAAATTAAAACAAAAGATGACTGATGCTAGAATAAGTTTTGATGGAAACCGTTCATAGTATCCAAGGTTAATTACCAAAAAATAAATAGCTGAAAACATTTTTTTCTCGTCGCTTTTTTTTTTTTTTTTTTTTTTTTATAGGATAGGGTGACAAACGAGCACACGGTCCACCTGACCCTCATCCCCAACAATGCAATCTACCCCTAATGATCCTCGTTTCCAGTAAAAAGGGTCTCTACAAAATTCCACAAAAATACAAAAGATTTATCATATATCTAAACAAAGAAAATATGTCGCTTAAGTCTTTTTGCTTGTAATTGGCTCCTAATATAGCTAACTCACAAGGATTTAAAAAAAAACTTTTTTATAGGAGGCAAACGAGCATACGGCTCACCTGATAGTAAGTGATTACCGCCGCCCATGTACAGTTGTTCATGGGAATGACACCAGTGGAATTGCAGATAATAATAATAATAACCTAATAAGCAAGATTAATAAGATATGAATAACAATTAGTAAGTCAAAAATTCTTTATAGAAATATTTTTTTATTTATTTAGCGTTTAAATGTGTCACCTCCGTTTGGCATTGCTTTTGCCTGCCGCATCAAGCGTCGCTCTAAAAGATGGCTAAAAACAAATGAATCCTGTTGTTTAACACCCATTAACTAAAACTGCGGTGCTCGAACCATTTTGCTTTAACCTAAAAAATTACTTCGTATGAAGCGATTTTATTTATTTTTCTTTAAAAATAACGAAACTGTTCTTAGAGTGTTTATCATAAAATCTTAAAACCTAAAATTGTGACTCAAATAATTTTGCCTTAAAGTGGCTCATATAGATGTACGTACCTTAGTCCACCGGCGCCCGACGTCTCAGATGCGAGGCAGTTCCTATCAGTCCATTCATCTTCATCAATTTCTCGAGCGCCACTGTCCGAAAGTTCTAGACTAATTCGTTCCGGTGTAGAAGTTATTGCTTGAGGTTGAGAAGACGGTGTCAAAACGCTTGTAGCCGTTACGGCATCCGGAACGCTAACGCCCGAGTGGCGCATACATACTAGGCGACTGCCGTACCGCTCCATAGTGTAGTTTCTGTTAATAAAATAATTAAGCATGTTCAAAATATGTTCAAATATTTCAGCCGTGACAGCAGAATGAAAATGGTTCAGTAAATAAAATTATATATCTCCATAAAAATGATCACTAACCAGATAACCTTTAACCGCGAGGAAAAAATAAAGTGAATAGGTGAACAAATCATAGTCATTCTTATTTATTAAAATTCATTCATTTCATTAGAAGGTAATATTTTGTTTTAAGATTTCATTTTTGATGGATTATTCTTATATCTTTGTATTTTGTACGGGAGAGTGTTATATTAAGGTGTATTCAAACACAATAATGTACTTTATATTCTATGATTAATCATCTCTGCTCTCGTTTTTTGACTGCATCGCGAATTGAAGTAGTCGCATGTGCAATTAAATATATTAATTACGAAATTAATATACAAGGTTGGTAGAGTCAGTGCAAAAAGCGCAGAACAATTTTAATAAAATCACTTTGTCCAGTTTATATTGTATTGCAATTTTGTGTATTCAGTCAAAAACTTGGTGTATACAACACCATGTGAGTAAAGTAAAGGGCTGTTTTTTAGAGGTATAGAACTTTAAGTTGGCAACACTTTTTAACTGGCGGCCATTTTGTCAGCTGTCAAGTGATTTATGTTTAGTTTGATTTGGCATTTCAACATGAATAGACTGACGCCTGAACAACGCTTCCAAATTGTGCAAATTTATTTTGAAAATCATGGTAGTATCGCGCATTACGTCCATTTTACGGTCAACATAATCGTCCATCAGAGCAATTAATTCGATTAACTATGGGACGTTTTTGCGCCATGTTTACTCTAAATGATAATACGCATCCACAGAGATGTCGTACAGTTCGCACAGAAGAAGTCATTGCTGCTGTAGAGCGTAGCGTAGAGGAAGACCCGAATCAGTCTATCAGCCATCGTGCACAGGAATTGGATATGTGTCCATCCACTTTATGGAAGATTTTGCGGAAAGATCTTGGTTTGCGTGCTTACAAAATCCAAATCGTGCAAGAATTGAAGCCTCGCGATCACCTAGCAAGGCGTAGATTCGGTGAATGGGCCCAAAATAAGATTGCCGACGATCCCGATTTTCGTAAGCGAATTTTGTTTAGCGATGAAGCTCACTTTTGGTTGAATGGATATGTCAATAAACAAAACTGCCGTATTTGGAGTGATGGTAATACTCAAGTGTATGTTGAGACACCGTTACATCCAGAAAAACTGACTGTGTGGTGTGCTTTTGGGCTGGTGGAATAATTGGTCCGTACTTTTTTTAAAACGATGCTGGCCAGAACATTACACTCAATGGTGACCGCTATAGATGCCGCGATATTCATCAATAGAACAACCATGATACGCAGGAGTTGTGGTTTCAACAAGACGGCGCAACATGTCACACGGCTCGTGCTACAATTGATTTATTGAAGGAAACGTTTGGTAACCGCATAATTTCATGTTTCGGACCCGTGAATTGGCCTCCAAGATGGTGCGATTTAACGCCGCTTGACTATTTTCTGTGGGGATATGTGAAGTCGCAAGTCTACGCCGATAAGCCCGAAACGATTGACCACTCGGAGGACAACATTCGGGGCGTTATTGCCGATATACGGCCACAAATGATGGAAAAATTCATCGAAAATTGGACCTCCAGATTAGACTACGTCCGAGCCAGCCGTGGCGATCATATGCCAGAAGTCATATTTAAATTATAAAGCCAGAAAATTGTCTTTTGAATAAAGTAAATTTCATGTCAATAAAAAAAAATCATGTTTGTTTTATTTCATTTCAAAGTTCTATACCTCTAAAAAAACACCCGTTATAACAAGCAGTGCAACTGGGTCTTTATCCTCTTCTGGTCTAAACCCAGAATAAAACATCGAATATGCATACTTATTTATCAATTTTAGTTCCGAAAAATCGAAATATTTTCAGATAGATTACATCCGACGCAGTTAAAGCTTACTATTGCGAAAATAGACGTATCCCTGTCTCACAGCTCATTTTAAATGTCTAAAATTAACGGTTGAATTAGTTACTGTAAGTAGTTGAGGTAGAGAGGTGTTTTTAACATTTTTTGTGTTTAATTGCTGTTGCATTTTGCACTATTCCCAAACAGAGCCAGAAAACCGAAAGAAGCAACTGCAGCTCAGGACTGTATATACCCACGATAAAATAATGAAACCAACATCTCGTATTCCCCATTCTCCTACTGCAAAACTGGACCGATTTAAAAAATGTTCCCAAAAAGATTATAAGAATTTTATGTTCGTTCAATTTGTTTGCCGGGTTTCATATATAACGGCGTTATAACTAGGCAATTTTAGTAATTTTAAAGGGTTGTTATTATTTTAAATAATATAAAAAACAAAAAAAATGCCGAACCCTTACCCAGGCCTCAGCACCGTCTTGCAAACAGCGCATCGAAAACAAGCCCTATGCAAATGCAAGCCATCAGCAGTAACTCCCTCCGCCGCAAAAACACGTGTCCCGCAAGATGCGCATTGTACTCCCGTCGAAGACGGACCACGCCAACTCTTTTTGCTCTGTTAACATGACATTAAAAAAACAGTCAGCGTAAAATAGCAGCATAAAGCTGTTTAATATGATGCATACACCTTCACATAGCATACACAGCATGATTATTTAGTGGTTTTAATTGGAGATATAAACGAAGACCATTTTAATGGCTAATAAATAAATTTAAAAAATAATTTAAATGAATTATTTTTATCTTAGTCCACGGATATGTAACCTGTCTACATTTTCGTTTTATAAATACATATTATTCGTCTACATAAAACATTTCTCATACTATACTACACGTATATTTTGTTTTGTTTGTTTTATTTAAAAAATATAATAAATTGATACAAAAAGCACTTGCCTCTTCTTTGGGAATAACTTTATCGGTGTCAGTTTCTTCCCTTTTAACAAATTTTGTAGCTAAGTTAGCGACCTGAAAAAGATAATAAATAAATAAATAATATTTTACATTCGACTACCAATTATTCAATGCTAACTGCCTCAAATACGACCCACAGACCTTTTTAGTGCCATGATCTGGTCGACCTGAGTCTTTTAACTTCTGGTCAAGTTTGTGCAGAGTATCATCGATTTCACCCCACTTCTCTTCAGCCTGTTGACCTTCCTTCAATCTCCTTTGACGCCCAAGAAACTGTTTGATGAGAAAGCACAATTATTAATACCTATAAATGTGCCGACATGTAGTATTATGTTATTTTAACCTACAATATAAATAAACGACGTACAGAAATACCTATCTTAATTTCAACCAAGTGAAGAAATCCGTTTTCAACACCTCTTATTAATTTTATTTTGATTATTATAATTGGGTTGCTCCTCACATTGTCAGATTTGTTATTTAAGGGCACTTCTGAACATATACTTTTTTAGAGTGCGCAATTAAACATGTTTACTTTGAATGATCAGGGAACCACGCTGAACAGGCGGGTTTGTGAGCACAAAGACAAGACCCTCACACCAGTGATCCTGTTCCCAATCATTATCTGCGGAATTTGGGTTTCACATTTTTGGATGTATACTCCATTATGAGACGGTTGTCAAAGCCCGGTGTCAGTCTATTAAAAGGGTTCTTTATGGAAATTAAGATGCCATTCCCCCTTACATCCAATGAAGAAGCAATGTTTCTCAAACTTATAGCCCCAGCCCGGCTGGCATGGGCAGGAGACAAAAATTTTATACCCCGATTATACCCACGGACAAGGGATAAAATTGTCTTATCCCTATCCCAAAGTTCTATCCACCCTGCGAGCATGGGCCTATGGTGGATGTAATATCGACAGTAGATAAAATAGGAGATAAACTTATCCCCGCGCATAGATAATATACCATAGTATAAAGCTATAAGCTATAAAGGGCACGTGCAAGTACAATCATAGATTACTGTGTATATAAGGAAACAAAGGGGAACGCCACGAAATCGATAAGCCAGTTCCTAAAAGGTTAGGTTTAGTGGGTAAAAGTCACCACATAACCACGCAGCCGGCTGCGTGGTATGCTATGAGCATTCCCAACCTCCCTCCCCCGCTTTCCGGAGGGTTGCCCATATTTGCTTCGGGCGCAAAAAAAAACGCCACGAAACTGTGACGCTCCCGCAGTTAAAAACTCGAAAAGTGGTAAAAAGTTAACAGATTTCATTGTACTTCGTATTAACGTGACGCATCTAGTGGTATCATTTTTAGTGATTTTTTAAGTGAAAAACCGTTTTTCCTCATATTAGCAAAACAGTAAATCGCTTGCGGCGCTCGATTAGTTGCCACAACCTGCCATTTTTTAGTGATTTTGTACGCCACCTGGGGACACATCATCCTCCAAAAAATTGGAATGTTTGGATAAAGGAAACCTGAGTTATTAATAATTTCATTTCCATAAACCATTTTTTCAGTTTTCTTGGAGATCCGGACCGAAAGAATACATAGTAGACAAACACACTCGATCGACTAATGATTACTGATGGGTTGATTCCTTAACTTTGAATAAATTTTATTATTCCGTAAATACTGTTTTATTTATTAAAAGAAGTAAGTACCTTCTTAATTCGTTTAGTATTCGTAACAACCTATTGCAATTTGTGGATGTTAACTATGGTAGATAAACAGGCCAACACGTTTCAATGATAACAAATAATAAAGAAATACTAATTGAAGAAGTATACGAATACGTTTTCGTCGGCGTGAAATTCAGTAATACCACGTTATCTCTTTGAGGATAAAAGGTAACCTAGTCTTTTTATTCTTTCCAGCTATCTGAATACCAAATCTCGTAAAATCGGTTGAATGGCTTAGCATTTCCTACACAAAGTTTCATACCCATTCTACCGTTTTTATCCAAATTGGCGGTTTAACGGCTAATAACGACTAAACCTACTTTAGGTTTCACAGCCTATTTAGCTATGATATTAGTTTTTTGACTTAACCGGGTGTTAATCTATCTCAATTTTATGAAAATAGTTTCAGCGGTTTAGCTCGAAAAACCTGTGACAGACATTCGTATTATAATAGTAAAGTATGGATTTCTCATACACATGAATCTGAACAACTGAATTTATCTATCTTTAATACATTTTGGCAGCTAATTACGTATTTGTTTAATATTTCTTGACGTAAAATTTTGGATTTTAACCGTAAAATTTTATAAAGAATCGTGTATTTGGAACTTACAAAAATTTTTTGACTGTACTTTTACAAAGTGAATACGTTAGTATTTATCTTTTAGTATAAAATTGTACAAAATAATAACATAAAATATTATTGAAATATTTCAAAATAAACACACTCAAGTTTTACCGGTGCTTACCGGTCACCGGTGAGTCACTAAACAAGACTACATCCCTAGCGGTGATACCACTCTATTCTACAATTTGCAATACACAGACTAATATGATGCTACGTAAACGTGTTTAACAACTTTTTATTTACAATAAATAAAAATGATACTGCGATGATATTTACGATTAGTTTACATATTATTTACAAATAAATATGTATTAAAATTTAAACTATTTAATTTTTTAATGATAATCTTGAACTAATCAAAAGTCTAAAATACTTAAATTCGCTCAGTCTGTCAAAACAGCGAATCGGGTTTGTAATAAAGACGTATAAAGAAGGGCTGAGGAAATAACTTTAAAAACATCTTAGGTTTGTAGTAGTGATAATACTACGTAAATGCTTGTAAGTATGCTCCCGGCGACGCCGAACCTCGTACAAAATAAGGTTGACAGCCATCCTATTGTGTATTATAGTATTCTATGGTTAATATATTTAACTCGTCGTAAACCTGTAATGTAGCGTATAATATTATATTATTTACTTATGTAGCTACAAATAGTTTTTATCCTTTCTTTTTTTAATATTTTTTTATAGAAGAGGGGGCAAACGAGCATGCGGCTCACCTGATGTTAAGTGACTACCGCCGCCCATGATCAACCGCAACACCAGGGGATTTGCAGGTGCGTTCCCGGCCTTTTAAAAAGGAGTAAGCTCTTTTCTTGAAGGTCCCTAGGTCGTATCGGTCCGGAAAAATCGCCGGTGGTAAACTATTCCACAGAGAGGTCGTACGCTTAAGAAAACTCCTTGTGAAACGTACAGTGGTGGATCGGAACGTTTGCCACGTAGTGCGTTCACGAAATTTGGCGGCGGAGATTAATCCGAACAATTCCTCAGAGTGCTCCCCGTGATATATACGAAAGAAAATGCAAAGAGATGCAACATCTCTTCGTAGCGCCAGTGAATCGAGGCGATCGGAGCGCACTCGGTTTGTCGACGATTCGAGCCGCTCTGCAGGAGCTGAAGGAGCTGGCACTGGGGAGCTCCAGCCCAGAGATGGGTACAGTATTCCATGTGCGACCGAATCTGCGCCTTGTAAAGCTCTGCTGAGCACGCCAAGCTTTTTAGAGGCTAATTTGGCCTTCTCTTCTAAGTGACCACGAAACTGCACGTCACTCGATATATCGACGCCGAGGATTTCGATACAGGCTGAGGCAACAAGGGGAGTGCCTTGAAACTGAGGAGATACGACAAAGGGGTTCTTTTAAGATTATCGCGCAAACTTGTGTCGTCTGAGGGTTAAACTGGACTAGATTTAGTCACCCCCAATCCGAGACTTTGTTCAGCAAAGACTCGACTTCACACACAAGTTTGTCCCATTACTCGGAGAAGTTTTCCCGAGAAATATTGGCACGGCCGGTGTACAGAGCATCACCAGTGCTGTCATCTGCATAGCAAGGAATGTTACGGGTTTGCAACATATCATTGATGTGCAGAAGAAAGAGCGTTGTCGATAGCACGCAGCCTTGTGGAACACTAGCATTAATAGGCTTGTAATCGGAGCCTGCACCGTCTACAACTACATTGACGCTCCGATCTGCAAGAAAGCTGGTGATCCAATTGCACAATTTCTCGGGAAGCCCGTAGGAAGGGAGATTTGAAAGAAGCGCTTTGTGCCAAACCCGATCGAAGGCCTTCGCAATGTCCAAACTAAAGGCCAATACCTCCCCCTTGGACTACTGCCTCCGCCCATCTATGAATTAGGTAGACTAGAAGATCACCAGCTGATCGACCATAACGAAAACCGTATTGACGATCATTAATCAGCCGGTGATCCTCAAGGTACCTCATGAGCTGACAGTTTACAACGGACTCCATTGTTTTGGAGAACAAGGAGGTGATGGCGATAGGCCTGTAGTTGGACGGGTCTGAGCGGTCGGCTTTTTTTAGGGATCGGGTGGACGAAAGCCGTCTTCCATGATTTTGGGACTACGCCTAGGTAGTAGTATGTACGGAAAAGACGCGTTCAAAACCGGTGCCGCTTCTGGAGCACACGTCCTCAGCACAATTGGTGGGATTCCGTCAGGCCCACTCGACTTGTGGATGTCCAGGGAGAGGAGTACTTTGCGAACCGAGCGCTGTGTGAACTGCACTTCCGGCATGAAGCACTTACACCGCGGGATGGTCGGCGGCGTACTCCCCCCGTCATCGAGAGTCGAGTTGGACGCAAAGAAAGAGCCTAGCAGATCGGCTTTCTCCTTTGCCTAAATGTACATGAAAGTAAATATCATTGCACTTTTAAAATATATTGCGTGAGCTGGTATATGTTAGCAAGCGATGAGCTACCAGTTATAATATGTATCATGATAAGTTAATATTTTAATGCACATGCGCTATGGTTATTATTTGTTATTTTTACTTTGATGAATATCGGGCCTTAGGCTGTCTACTAAACTATCTGTTTTATGGATGTTCATGTTCAGACTTTCAAACTAGGCCAAACATCCATTAAACAGATACTGCAGTACATTACTATATTACATCAATATAATTTCGTATCACTAGGACCCACTTGTTCTCTATCCCACTTTGGCACCTTCTCCGCGCCTTTCGGTTCGGGCCTACCGAGCCGATTCTCCAAAATCTTTCGTTCGATTTCTTTAACGTTCCAGTCATCTCTTTCGATTTTGCCGACTGATCTAATCAGATCCTTGGGCTTGGAAGGTTTCGGTGGTACTGTGGTTGGAGTGGTGTTCGAAAGTTCAGCTGCAAGTCGCGCCACTCGAGCCCCTCCGTCTACTGCTTTGATTCCACCCCCTACTATCCGGCCCTCTTCCTAAAAAATAATGTATATTTCATACAGCTATGTTAAATTTATTTATGCCTACGCAAATGTGTTCTATACTGTGAATCATAATATTAATGCGTAATATTGATCTCCTTTCTTCGAAACGTAATTAAGTATATTTGAAGACACGTCTACGTCCACTCTTAAGGAATTACATACATTTAAATTTCATTGCAATTTTACAGTAAAGTGATATTGTTTACTAAATGTTTCACAATCTCAATTACAATTAATAAGCATATGATTATTCAAATGTCACACCTGAATGGTTAAATTCATTCGCCACCACACAATTCACTAGTGAGCATAGGCCGTCCCTAAGGAAGGCCAAAAAGCACGGTTCTGAGCCACATGCATCTATCGACTTCCTGCATGCCTCACCAGATTGTCACTCCATCTAGTGGCGGGTCGCTAACACTTCACGTACCGGTATGAGGCTTTCTTTCCCTTCCATTGGTTCTTCAAGCTATGTGGCCATGAACACCCATGAAGTGGCAACGGGCCGGCCATATTATATTTTCATAAATTTAAAGCCAGTTAATGGGGGGTATATTGCCATAATTGCCACGCTTGGCGAGCGGGTTGGCAACCGCAGTTTTTTGTTGTACAGTTCCTGTTATCAGGAAGATGCTGCTGCCTTTACGACACGGGAAGATATGGGGTAGTGGATAGGAATGGGCCGAATATGGATTTCACCGAATACGAATATTCGGCCGAATGTTCGGTAAAATTTTTACCGAACCGAATATTCGGCCGAACATTATTCGGCAGGATAACCTCGGGACCCAACTAATTTATGTCGAAACTTGTTACCGGAAACCGCGCGGGATTAGCGCCGGACCCTGCTTCTCGCTCCCCGCCACACCTGACAGTTCATCATCTAGTACTGAGCAAATTGCCAGCACATGCTTGATTTGACTATTCTTGTGATAAAAAAAAGTATTTCGTTGTTTTATTCTTAGTGAAAATTGATTATATGATAAAAATGAGCGGCAGAAGATTTACTATTTGGACTTATTTTAGAGAAACTGACGACCAAAGTAAAGTGAAATGTACTAATGTAATGTAATGTTTCTTTGTCTGATTTCAAAAACATTTTATCAAGTTTCTGTTTGCCATAATCGGAAATAATTCTACAGTTCCTCAAAAACATAAATGTATAGAGTTATGCATTTGAGGCACTCTAGAGTAAGTAGGTTTAATCCATAAATAAAATATAATTTCAACAGTAAAAGACATCGTATTACTCAATTCGTACATTTCAATACATTGTACACTATGAAAACGAATGTTCGGTGATTTAACCGAATATTCGGCCGAATACGAATATTCGTTATAGCTGCCGAATATGCCGAATACCGAATATAAAACGAATATTCGGCCCATCTCTAGTAGTGGATATTCTTAACTGCCACTACACGGCACAGTTGTTGTGAGCACTATGCTCGAAGTTGTTGACGAGTACGTTTACCTGGGACAAATAGTCCGACTAGGTAAGTCCAACTTCGACCGAGAGGTCAATCGACGGATTCAACTCGGCTGGGCAGCGTTCGGGAAATTACGACACATCTTCTCGTCAGGTATACCTCAATCTCTGAAAACTAGATTGTACAACCAGTACGTTTTTCCAGTGATGACTTACGGATCTGAGACGTGGTCCTTCACTGCTGGCCGTATGAGGACGCTCAAGGTCGCTCAGCGAGCTATGGAGAGGGCTATGCTCAGAGTTTCTCTGCGTGATAGACTCAGAAATAGAGGATATCCGCAGTAAAACCAGAGTGACCGATATAGCCCAACGGATTAGTAAGCTGAAGTGGCAATAGGCCGGCCATATCTCGAAAAACCGATAACCGATGGGGAAGAAAGGTTATCAAATGGCAGCCTCGTACCGGTAGGCGTAGAGTAGGGCGACCGTCCACTAGATAGAGTGACGACCTGGTAAGACATGCAGGAAGTCGATGGATGCAGGTGGCTCAGGACCGTGCTGTGTGGCATTACTTGGGGGAGGCCTATGTTCAGCAGCGGACTTGTGAAGGGCTGTAACGATGATGATGATGATGATGATGAAAGCCAGTTAATTATGAAAATCATGACAACTCTGGGAGTCTGTCATAATTTCATTTCTGTAATGACAATGTAGAAAAACTTGTAAGCTAAACTTTTTCTAAGTACGGAATAATGTTTAAATCATAAGGGCCTATAAAAAAATAAATAAAAACTCCGTTGCTTCTTTCTTAAGATTATATATGTGAATGTGATAAATTTTAACATTTAACAGAAGCTGGTAACAAACTTTGTTATACCAAATTGTTATTAAAATCAATTGTGATGCTACTTCTCTGCAATGAAAGTTTTTAGCAAATCACGTTAATTAAATTCATGCACACTCAGAATTTTTTATCAATACTTCACCAAAAGCGAAACTGTTTTTGCTGCATAGGCCTCCCCCATAGATTTTCCTCATAGAAAGTCACGCTCGGCAGGCGGGTGGACAACCGCAATATTTATTATTCCATTATATTTCATTATATCCATTTGCTTTTCACTTTCCTTCCGTCGCTTCTTACGACATGATATAACAATTATTTATGCAAACTATTTTATAACTTTAAATCATCTATCTAATATATACAATCATACTAAGCTTTTTGCATTAGATAGTAAAAGAAAAGATAAACCTCAAATACAAAGGAGCAAGTGTGTCAAATTCATGCTATTAGAAATAGACTACGGTGGTTGTCGGAAAACGATTATTGTTACTTTGAACATATAGTAAATACAATTGTTTCTGGTGTTTACGTTAACACTACACATTGAATAAAACTATCTTTTACTGATTTTATTGTATTGATTTATTCATATTCTGTCCCCCCTTTACTTCTCGGCATTGTATACTGACTAAAAAGTTTAAACACAATTTTAAAGCGGGTAGTAAGTGGAAATTAGCGTGATAGTCCATTGGGACTAGTGGCCCCATTCTAGTCTGTCTATAATTAACACTAAAAAAAATATCATAAGCATAGCAAAACACTCAACACAACGGAGATGTTAGTCTCATCATGCAACACGCATGCTCCTCACATTGTGTTGCAATTGTTTCTCCAGTTTCTTTACACGTTCGTCGAAATGAGGCGCGTTGGCCCTATACTGCTGCAAACTATAGTCGTTCTGCAAGTCTGCGGATGTAACGAATTCCACACGACGCTCAGCCGCTAACATTTGCAAACTTTTCTCGAACCGCTGCTTCATAATCTCCCGGGCCGCTTTTCTCTTGCCCCCGATCTTCGGTCGCTTCGGTTCGGCATTTCTCTTCTGCATCTTATCTAAGAACCTTTGCACTCTAAAACCCATGTCACTCGAATTTCTTCTCTGAGTCAATTCAGGGCTCTGCCGTGGTTTATTACCTCGAAATAAAGCTGCTATCCGCTGTCTTCGCAATTTCATTTCAGAGTTGCCAATAGATTCTACCCTTTTTGTACGTTCAGGGCTTGGTGTACTACGACGTTTCCCTTCAAAAAAATCGGCTATTTTCTGCAAGTTTTCAATCGACCTTGATCGCATAGAATGGGATTCACGGTTTAGTAAATTTTCTAAAGACGGTGAGGAACGAGAACGCTCAATCGAAATCACTTCGAGGCTTTGCGAATATCTTTTACGGATTGGATCAATAACTTCGGCTTGTGGAATACGAGTATCAATGGACGTAGAACTAATGAACTGCTCTTTCTTTTTTTCATCTGTTGAGTAAGACCGAATAAATTCATTTTTCTTTTCATTTTTCTTTGGTTTATTAATTTGAATCACCGTATCTTTGGAATCTGCGGAATTGTCATGAAATGTGTCCGAGGAATCTGGTGCCTCTAAGGAAGCGATATCCAATCCTTTAAGTTTCGGAGATGGCTTTGATGGTCGTCGTTTCAATTTAACTTTTTTATTTTCGAAAAACCTAAGTGCCAAATTCGACTCATTCGATTCTTTGGGCTTTATTTTTATCTTTCCTTGGAGTAGTTGTTCCAATGTATCTCGGACTATTTTCGGATCTGGGGAATCTTTGGGGTCAATTAATGCTAATATTTCATCCTGAATGGCTTTTTGCTTATCGGTGGACGTATCTTCTTTTACAATAGCATCATGGCCTTCTATCAGGCGAGCTAGCTGTGTGATATCATTAAGGTCTAACTTGCCGATCTTTTTTCTTATGTACTCAGAGGCATCGCTACTTACTTGAGGAGTGCGCAGAGAGCGACGTTTCTTTCTGTAGCTCGATGTAGATTTATCGATTTCAGCAACATCTGTTAAGAAATTTTTTTTTAATTAAAGACATTTAGTTTTCCTTTAGGTAATTTGACTCATTCGAAAAATCGAAGTAGAGTTCGTATGTGTACGCGCGCATGTATGCGCACACATAAACACAAATTTTTAATATGATTTTACCGCCATCAGTCCAGAATCCCTTGTGTCAGTATGTAGGTGAGGTTGCCATTTGTGGAAAAATGTGGCATTTAGGAACATGACATTTTAGGGAATGATAGTGCATCTAATTTATAGGTGACCCAGATAAAAATAATTTATAAAAGTAAAGTAACAAGTTTTAACGTATGTATAATTGAGGGATATTTATTTAGCAATAACGATGGCGCCTTCTTATAGAGCATTAACTTTATAAAAAAGTTAGTTTTAAATCATATTTTGTTTGTATAAGATTACTTACTCGAATATACAGAAACTGGCTGCTCCGCCGTATTTCGAACATGCTTCTCTTTCTGTTGATTTCTTTTGATCTATAAAGAAAGGCAATTTAATGTAAACAAGTGTACAGTTAATAATTAAAAGAATGTTATGCTGTGCAGACTATGCAGGAGAAATAAAATCTCTTGATTTAGGTACAGATAATTACATATTAACACATTTTACAGTAGCTACAAAATAATAACTCTGTAGAAAATACAATTAACTATACTTAAGAATAAATATTCGCCGTTATAATGTTTTGTTATACAGTTTATATCCAACAGAAGGGGTAAAAAGTAAAAAAATAAACATTTCAGGAAAGTACAATACATTAGCATTAATATTTGTGAAAATTTTGTCATAAAGTGGCAGTTTTATATGACCTGATCGAACACGTCGGTTTGGTGATGTATGTGGGGGACCTCGCCCTTGAAGGCGTTGTACACTCGCGCTAAATAGGACCGCAACTTAGCAACAGGCACGTCACGTGTCTGACCGCTCGTCGTAAATGGCGTAATTCCTAAACAAGGAACAAAATAATATTTAGAATTTACAAAAAAAAGTAATAATTATTAAGTACCTATTTAAGTTATTAAAATATAAAGATTGAGATTTTGAAAATAACAGTAGTTTAAAAAAATGTTTTAACGTATTTCACGTCAAATTTAACGTGAAATAAAATAAAATTAAGCTTTAGCTCCAATAAATTAAAATAAAGATACTCATTATATACATTAGGTACGTAATTGTCTATACACGAAAATATATCATATATTTTCGCGTATAGACAATTTTGATAATGATTTCTTAAATTTACGCGAATACAACACATTGAATAAAACTAAATTTACGGATTCTATCGCGTTTAATTAATTACTTTTGCTTATTTTATTAATTTCCGACGTTTCGGGTACTTTACAGCACCCATGGTCACGGGGGGGGGGGGGGGACTGAGATGTTTGACGTCCCAATGTTATTGTTAGCTCGGCTACCTTCAGTTTTTTTATATTAATTTTTCGCGTTGTTGTGTGCGAGCGTGGTCCTTCTCCGGTCGAGCCGACCCATTCGTGCTAAACTTGATTTACCTTTTAGCCCTATTAATCGGTAACTGTAAGAAACGTTAGATGATATCTAAATTCTCACATACATAATATACTATATTCTATCCGGACTTATAAAACTTTTACTGAGTATTGATAATTCAAATTAAGATATGAACTATGTGGCTAGCTATAAAATATTCTACAGGAGTCAATCATCCAATATTTTAGATAACCTTAATGCTTAAAAATGATGATAATGTTGATGGGGTCTGACCAAATTCATGCTGTAGCACATGGTAGACAGCCAATGGTGATGAGTTAGGTGGTATGAGGTCAGGCCGGTAGCGTCGCAGAAGGTCTGTAAGGGCGGATGCACTAGTAGCCGCTCGGATGCCTGGCTCCGAACACCCTACCCATGATATAAGTGCCTCTTCGGGGATGTCTGCATCTGTGTCAAATAATAAATAATATATCGATCCGTACTAACATAATAAGAAGCCAAGTTGTTTGTAAATTTGTAAGTTTCTTTGTAGAAGGAAATCTTTAAAACTGCTGATCAGAATTGTAAAACTTCTTTCACTGATTTTCTATCACACCATTCCCGAGCCTCATCACAATCAGTTGGGTCACAAATCACAAATATTGATATGAACTTTATTTACGCCTATTTTATGTATACCAAAGTGTATTATATTAGATAAAAAGTACTAAAGTCAAAAAAAGGCTTTAGTACCATAGACCATAAATGCCCCTCGGCAATTTATATAGAAGACCGAAGAATACAATCTGCCACTTTGTCTTGCTTATGTGAACTATGAGAGAGCCTTTGAATTAATCGAAATAAGAGTAGCACTACTACGAACAAGGAACAACGATGGCTATCTAAGTACAGAACCAGAGTACAAAACTTATTCAACTTCAAGGAGGTGTAGGACAGAGTGACGTTATATTTTTTATGGGCTAGGATGACAAACGAGCACACAGTGCACCTGATGGTAAATGGTAGCTGTGCCTCATAGACATCCATATATATATTAAGAATCAAAATACAGATGCGTTGTCACCCGTAACCCTTTCGCACCCGAATGAAACGATCGTGAGTTTCTTCTTTGAAAAATTATAAGTTCGCGCCAAATCCGTTTCTCCGCGTTAAACCGACATCGCATGGTCGTGCGCAATCATCAATCTATCCAATAGGTAACGGTTTTGGCGTCTAGCGCGATCAGTACCCGCGAGCGCACCGACAAGATGGCTGCGTTTCTTGACCCCGTCACTGGACGCCGTAAGTTATATTTATTTTTCTTGCAAATTTCGTAAGAAATCATTGATATTATGATTGTATTGCATCATTAAGTATATGATTCATCTGAATGACTATAACTTTCTTCTATATTTTTAGTAATTACCAACTTAATTTACGACAAAATTGTCAGCTCACTGTCGTGATATCTGGGTTGCAATTGTACCAACGCATGATCGTGAGTTCATTCAGTTTTAAGTTATTTTTCGATTTATTTCTTTAACTACAGGCATGCCATTGAACAATGACCTCATCTTGGGCATCCTCAATGATGGTAACTGTTCCGAGTTGGACTTCGACGACGACGATGAAGAGTTTATTCCTCTGCAGCTGGAAAATGATGAAGAAGGTGAAGTTGAGATATCCTCTCCGCCTCGCTTATCTGCGGCAGCTGTGAAATCGGAAAATATTAAAGGTAAAGTGTCTAAAAGGAAGTCTACATCTGATAACATGAATGAGAGTGAAGCAGGCCCATCTTGTTCTAAAAAGTCAAAACAAACACCTTGTTCAAAAGTAACACAAAAATCAAAGGCTGTTATAGTGAAATTGCCTGCTCGTAAAAGGTTATGGAAGAAAACTGATTACATCGATAAATCACATAACTACTCAGGTCATCCACAACCAAATGAAATAAGATCGCCGGTTGAATATTATAATGATTATTATAATGATAATTTTTACGAGCGCATGGCATTGTGTACAAACTTATACTATTTAAGAAAAACTGGGCGAGTTTTAAATACAACCAAACCGGAAATAAAAAAACTGATTGGTATCCATCTACTGATGGGTATACTATCATATCCCAGGATCGCAATGTACTGGCGAAGAAATATTAAAGTTGACATGATTGTTTCTGCAATGACAAGAGATAGACTGACAACTTTAAGAAACAGTTTGCACGTCGTGGATTCCGACTCTCCACCCGTCTCGGAAGCAAATAATCCTCTCTGGAAGGTTCAGCCGATGATCGACATTGTGAGAGAAGGCTGCAACAAAATTCTAAGGACCCCGGGCAGGTATTCGATCGACGAACAAATGATACCTTTCACTGGCAAGTGTCATCTTCGTCAGCTTGTAAAGAACAAGCCTCGCCCAGTGGGTCTTAAGAATTTCGTGGTTACTACTAGTGAAGGGCTAATGGTGGATTTTGAAATTTATTATGGCAACAATCGCGCTCTTTCGCATCCTTTGGGGCTTGGACCGGCTGTAGTTCTTCGCTTGAGTCAAAGTGTTCCACGCGGGAGCTGCTTTTTTTTGACCGATATTTTACAACGGTTCCCCTGTTGGAAGAATTAACGAAAATGGACTATCATGGCACAGGGACAATTATGCTTAACCGGGTACCAGATCGACAGCAGCTTAAGTTCAAAGATGACAAAAAAATGACACGAGGAGAAATTGAACAAAGGGTATCAAACGACGTAGTTTTGGTAAAATGGAAGGACAGCAAGGCGGTATTGACAGCATCAAATTGTACTGGGGGCACGGCAACCGACATAGTAAAGCGGTACAATAAAACAGAAAAATGCTACGTCGATGTTGGTGCTCCAAAAGTTGTAACATCCTACAACTCTTTCATGGGCGGGGTGGATGTTTTGGACCAATCTATGGAATATTACCGTACATTCATGAAGACCCGTAAATGGACTCTCAAGGTCATACTACACTTTATAGACCTAGCAATGGTAAATTCGTGGCGGCTCTACAGATCTGACTCATTGGCTAAAGGCATTCCTAAAAATCGAATATTAGATCTCCTTTCATTCAGATTTGAAGTTGCTGAGACACACATCTGCACTCCTGACAGAGATCGGCGCGATTCATCCCCATTACTTGAAACGCAGGCACAAACTTCGGGCAGATACAAACCCGCTAATCATCCGTCTGTGGGAAAGAGGTTTGATGGTTACGAACACTTTCCTATTTTTGACGACTTGAAGGCTCCTCGCAAATGTCGCTCAGAGATTTGTTCATCTCGCTCTAAAATTAGGTGCCGTAAAAGGTGCCGTAATTTACTTATGCTTGAGTCGTGATAAAGACTGCTTTTTTTTGTATCACCAAAGAAACTAGTCTTATTTAATAACGTTTCCTATGTAAAGACTGTGATTTAGAAAGATATTTCAAAAGATTATCTAAGTATTAAGTTTTATGTTATTTTTGTACAGCCAGAAAGGCTTTTGAGTTGATTTCTATGTTTTTGTGTTAAGTTTTTGTTTCCTAAGAAGCATGAGTTTATCTCATTGTTTATTTCGTAAAAATATTTTTTTTCCTTTCTTTTAATTTCTAAGTTGTCTTCTGAAAGAGCATTTTTTATTACAATGAAAACAAAAGACTGAAATTTTGTACTTAAACTGTAATGTTGACAATAATTAAATAAGTCTTTTCTAATAACCAGATGCGTTTTATTTCATTATAAATATTTTTTGAAGTAAGCTGACACCATCAATGCATTAAAATCTCATCAAAACTTAAAAACGCACGATCGTGAGTTGGTAGAAGTCAGCCCTAGAGCTCACTATCGTGCTATCGACTTTCCAGAGTTCTGGTGTACGCTGGATTTTTTTTACTATTTTTTACCTTAATATTAACACTTCTTTGCCAAAATATTATAGTTTTCATTTCAAATCAAAGGAACAAAAATCTCAGGTGCGAAAGGGGTAAGGACTAAGATGGAATGCCTCGTTTCCAGAAAAAAGGGTCTCCGGTTCTCCACATTAACAATACGAAACACAGCAACATTGAGCTGCTATTTTACGTTGGTATTCTGTGAGAACTTGGTCCTAGCCTGATCGAGCCGAACCATTCATGCTACAACTATAATGTAGTTTCAGCGTGGCTCTACCACGTAAACTATACTATACGTAACAATACATTATATCCCCGAAACTCTTCACCACCGTATTGGTACACGTTTTCAAGCTACTATATGATTGGAATGGATACGGTATTAACATCAATGGCACATCACCCACCTTAGATTTGCATGAATTTTAATGATATAGTCCCTATGGTAGAATCGCTGGAGGACCTAAGCACTATGCTAAATGACCTCAATAGTGTCTCTCAACGGATAGGTCTTAAGATGAACATGAACAAAAAAAAATAATGGGTAACGTCCATGTCACATCTATGCCGGTAGTTGTTGGGAGCACTAAGCTCGAAGTTGTTGACGAGTATGTTTACCTGGGACAAATAGTCCGACTAGGTAAGTCCAACTTCGACTAAGAATTCAATTGACGGATCAACTCGGTTGGGCAGCGTTCCGGGAATTACGACACTTTTTCTCGTCAGGTATATCTCAAAACCTAAAAACAAGATTGTAAAACCAGTGCATGTTTCCAGAGATAACTTTTGGATCTGAGACGTGTTCCTTTACTGCTGGCCGTATGAGAATGCTCAGTCACTCAGCGAGCTATGGAGAGGGCTATGCTGGGAGTTTCTCTGCGTGATAAACTTAGAAATGAGGATATCCGCAGTCAGTATAACCGGAGTGACCGACATCGCCCAACGGATTAGTAAACTGAAGTGGCAATGGACCGGTCATATAGCTCGAAGAACCGACAAACGATGGGGAAAAAAGGTTCTTGAGTGGCAGCCTCATATTAGTAGGCGTAGTATAGGGCAACCCTCAACTAGATGGAAAGACGACCTGGTAAGACATGCAGGTAATGCATGTGGTACATAAAGATAGGTACCGAATGTTCACTTTCATTAAGTCTATAACATACTTAGTAATATGATAGCAAATTTTAGACAAATAAAATAATATATGCAGGAACTTGCTTATTAATAGTACACTGTTACAAATTGCGGACTGGTGTTTACCAAATATGTACCTATTTAAAAATAATCTTAGTGTTATAAACCGGCAAGTTTATACGATTTACCTACATGATATTATACAAAATAATTACCATACAAAAATTTAATTGGCCTTACATTGGTTCTTATACTAATAGAGAAATATTATTTACATACACCACGATTCACTCACCACGCCGTCGCTTTCTAACTCCTGATGTAGCATCCAAAGGTAACGGGTCATCAGAGTCATAGAATGGGGTGACCCGATGAGGTGTTACAGCTGTTCGATTCAGATTTGGGTACCGCGTACCAGGGTCCAATGTATAAGCACCAAAGTCACGATGCAAATTTTCTGGAGTAGTTTGAGCTAAAAACAAAAATTTTAGTCAAGTACTGACTTACAAAAAATATACAATCTAATATTAACGGTATTTTACATAAAGTCGATTGTATAATATGTGTCACAGCTAAATTCCAATGTGTGAATACACCTAGATTTAGTATTTAGATTTAATTACTAATAGGTTCAGCCGGGGTGTATTTAAACTTCTGATGGAGCAAGCTCAACTTTTTATGTTTTCCGATGCTTATTAGGGTATTCATATCATTTATATGAAAAATCTTAAATGATTTTTTCACGTTTTACCAGGCCTCTATCACTCTTGCTACCTACGTGAAATAATTACCTAAAATCGCGACGCGCCCGGGCGAAATAACGCAGTCAGGGCTAGCGCGTTGGAGGCAATTGAATGTTAAAGTTTTTAATGCTGTTGACGTATATAACTTTTTGTAAATATTGTTGAAATGGTTTTTGTTTAGTGTTTAGTATATATAATTATAAGATAAAGTAGTTCAAAAGTTTTAATGTAATTTAAGGACTACATATTATGTATATTACCCATTATTTAATAAATTTTAATATGGCAAAACGTCGTTCCTACTATAATTATTGCGTGGATAGACGCTAAATGACCAACAAAATATTTCAGATATATCATTCTTTATTACCGAAGGATTTTAGTAGGAGGTTATGAAACGTGAATTTATTTAATTTTTATTGTTTGATAGGTACTTATAGCGAAAAAGAATTAAGTAATAATTTATTTATTATCAACGAACTTTATTACAAAATTTAGTAGAAATTTACTTCAGTATGCAAGTATCTACTTACGTACATATACTTGCGTTTTGTATTAAAATATATTAAACTGTTATTTTAGCTTAAAATATTTTAAGCTAAAATAACACAAAACACTGAAATCAAAACTTTGTTTACTAACAAAATTTTTAACTATGTAGAATACGATTACATTTCTGTTAGGAATCGTATTTCAAGTTTATTTGTTGTTTACCCTATCTACCTTTTCCTTCCGAGCCAAGCGTCGCGATTCCCGATGAATGGCCTTGCAAGTTGCATGCGTTAGGTATCGCAGAACTCACGTAGGTGCGAAAATATGGTCTGTCGATCATAGTCAGAATAGGTATTTCACCTAAGTAACCTAATTAATATTTCGCAACGTATTTTGTTTACTCTTTATTGACATCCCTCCATAACAACGGAAAGTCCACCGTAACGTAGGAAGACGAAAATGTGCAAAGTAATACGGACACTCTCGCGCAGCGATAAAGTTTTATTTAGCTTGCGAGCGCGATTTATCTAATTAATAATAATTATGTAGGCTATTAAACGTCGGCAAGCAGTCAACATTAAAAGAGTGAAACTTCTGTACGTAGTACTATTATTTATTCTGTGGTTTTACTTAAATTAATTTTAACTTCCTACGTGTCGTGTGCCTTACAGCACCCATGGTCATGGTGTGCCTAAGGTATTGAGCGTCCAGATGTCATAGTCAACCCGCATCACTCGACACTTCTCCACTCGAGGACATACGAAAGAGCACACAAAGGACTCATACCATTTTGTCATTGAGATAAAAGTTTGAGTAGAAATCACTCTTAACATAGCAATAGAAGCAGCACGTAGATGATAGATTCTTAACTTTACATCAAACAAAGTAACATTATTTTTAGACCATCTTATTTCCATTAATTCTAAAATTCAATTTAAATTGGAGTTAGCAGCAAATAGCTTTCATATAATATGCGTTAGTCATCCGAAATTCTAACAACACCATAGAAGGTCATACTGTGTATAGAACCGCTGAATAAAATTAGTATAAGATGCTGGAGTTTACCAGCTTGATTGTAATGTGGTCTTTCCTAAATAGCTCAAACAATAAGATCAACAGAACTTGCACAAACCCTAAACCCCTTTATAAAGGTGGAGCACGTGGTAAGGCCATACTGCAGTTATATTATAGTTGTAGCACGAATGAATCGGCTCGACCGGAAAAGAACAACGCGTTCACAGAATACCAGTGTAAAATAGCAACTCAAAGCTGCTGTGTTTCGCATGGTCAGTGTAGGGAGACGAAGATTCTTTTTAATGAAAACGAGGCATTCTATCTTTGACCTCAGGGGTAATAACGCCTTATTACGCCTTACATATAACTTACTATTTCGCAACATATTTTTTTGCTCTTTATTGACAGCCCTTAGTTACCACGGAAAGTCCGCCGTAACGTAGAAATGAGAAAAGATGCAAAGTAATGCGGAAGCTCGCGAGCAGTGATAACGTTTTATTTTGCGATTTATCTAATTATTAATAATGTTACGAGCTTAAGGTTCGTGACGATAAAAACTGCCGATTGAATTACCAAAATTAACACTTTAATTTACTTTACACTAATTAAAGTTAAAACACTAATGATTAATCACACTGATTCACTTTATTCCGCTCCGAAGCTTCGCTTGTCTCGCCAAATTCAATACTTCTCCGCTCGCATCTTGCAGCGCCTTTAAGTACACATTATCACCGAAACATCCAGAATATTTAAGTAAATACGCGAGCCAATCGACAAGGCGACGAAAGTTCGAGTGTCGGGCTTCCAGAAGCTTAGTTCTTCGTTTCGATACTAGATGGCTCTGTCGGTCGAAAGATTAGTGATGTCTTTTCTGGAAAGCTCCCCTCGTTCTCGTTTCCGACACTAGATGGTGCTAGTGCCGGGTACATGACGTCAACTTAGGCGCGAAACACTGCCCCCTCCTAAGGCATGCTCGTTCCGAGCATTATCGGCCCCATAATAACGCGCCAAGCGATCCACATGGACGATCTTAGGAGTCCCTCTTGCGCCTTTCTGTAACGGCTCCGCAATGTCAAGTGCTGTCCTATCCCATGGTGCACCAACATTGTACAATTTCGATGCTCCTCTAATACGTGTCTGAGGTCCTCTGACAGCCGCACAACTTGTACATATACGACACCAATCCTCGACATCGTCACGATAATGGACCCAGTAAAACTGTTCTCGGATCTTCAGTAGAGTTCGTTTAACTCCCAGATGGACTCCTGAACAACCAGTATGGTGCAGCTGTAGAACATTCGACACTTTAACTTTAGGGACAACCATTTGCAAACAACAGCTGTCTCCTCGACCATTGTCCCATTTGTGGCACAGGACTCCATCCTGAATCAGCAAGCTGTCCCATTGGGCCCAATAGCTTCTAGTGGTCGAACTCATCGCTGAGACGTCGCTCCACTTAGGCTTGGTAGCACGGGCCTTCATCCATTCCAGAATCGGCTTGATGTCCGGATCTTCCTGCTGTGCATGTCGCAGGCTGTTCTTCCACTCGTTGCTGAGGTGGTCTGTCCTGAGCATCCTCACGGATACCACTTCCTTACTCTCTTGCCTAGTACAACGTTTCCAATCTTCAGGACAAGGTCTTCTTGACAATGCATCTGCGTTGCCATGAGATTTCCCATTGCGATGTCTGATAGTAAAGTCGTATCCCGGCTGCTGCTGGGCGGTGATGTTAGCCGCACTTCCCTTCTGAGATCGTTCACCTTCCCTTTCTAGGGTTCGCTTAGGGCAGCTGGATCGAAGATGGCCCCTTTCCCCACAGCCATAGCACCTATGGCTGTATCCTTTATTGTGGTCGCGAACCGTAACTGCTGCAACCTCCCCCTAGCGTGAGGGGAACGATGATCCTGCCACCGCCAGGCGGTGCCGTTAGCTGCACTACCCTCTTGAGATCGATCAACTTCCCTTTCTACAGTTCTCTTAGGGCAGCTGGATCGAAGATGGCCCCTTTCTCCACAGCCATAGCACCTGGGGCTGTATCCTTTGTTGCGGTCGCGAACTGTAGCTGCTGCAACCTCCCTGACGCGATGGGAACGATGATCCTGCCGCACGGCTTCCACCTCCAGTGCATGGGCCAAGGCGTCCTTAAGCGTCTCGTGGTGCCCGAGCCTCACAGCAGCTCTGACTTCCAGTTCGCGGATGCCGTCGATGAATGTCTGCACCAGATTCTCTTCAATGAGCGCAGGTACAGACTGGTATGCTTTTCGCACCAGCTTCTCCACCTCTAGAGTCCACTGGTGCAGGGTTTCTTTGATGCGCTGCACACGATCTTTAAGCTGCGCACGAAAGAGGTGTTCCAGGTGAGCGTCGCCATATCTCGCCTCCAATGCCTCAAGGAGTTGCTCATAAGTCACTTCCTCACCGACAGCTTCCAGAACCAATAATGCCTGGTCGCGCAGGCCTAGTGTGAGAGCAGTCATGGCCTGACTTTTATTCCAGCCGTTCGCCTTTATGAAGGCGAACGGCGAATAGAAGGCAGGCTCAAACTGGTTTTTGTAAGCTGACCAGGAAGAAGTCCCGTCGAACTGTGTCACTTTGAAGCCACGCAGCGAAGGTGCTGCAGCCACCGCGGGGGCTGAAATTCCATCCTCAAGTCTGAGTTCATCCAGCGTTTTCTTAACTTGGTTGATTTGGGTCTCAGCTTCCGACAGGCGGTTATCATGTTGAGCAACCCTATCCTTCACCTCCCTTAATTCTTTCCCGAAGGTAGCGTGAAGGTCCTTCATGAGATGCATCTGCTCTTCCTTGTCGCGTTTGAGCTGCTCTTATAAGCGACGGGCCTGTTCCGCCTGCTGATCTTCCAACCGGCGGGCCTGTTCCTCCTGTCCGCGCTGCAGCTGCTCTTCCAGCCGACGGACCTGTTCCTCCTGTCGGCGGGCCTATTCCTCCTGCTGCTCTTTCAACAGACGGGCCTGTTCCTGTCGTCCGCGCTGCAGCTGCTCTTCTAACCGACGGGCCTGCTCCTGCAGCATCACCATCAGAGCACGTAAGTCAGATGCTGCAGATGCAGGAGCTACTGACGGACCGGCCTCCGTTGCCGGCGGCTGACTCTCCGACGTCTGCGGCGTTGCACCACCAAATCGTCTCTGGTCCGTCTCCTGCTGGCGTTGACTTCGGGTACGGACACCCTCCGTTTCCTCCTTAGGTAAAATCGGCATGATTTTATCCCACTTCTGACACCAATTGTTACGAGCTTGAGGTTCGTGACGATAAAAACTGCCGATTGAATTACCAAAATTAACACTTTAATTCACTTTACACTAATTAAAGTTAAAACACTAATAATTAATCACACTGATTCACTTTATTCCGCTCCGAAGCTTCGCTTGTCTCGCCAAATTTAATACTTTCCCGCTCGCATCTTGCAGCGCCTTTAAATACACATTATCACCAAAACATCCAGAATATTCAAGTAAATACGCGCGCCAATCGACAAGGCGACGAAAGTTCGAGTGTCGGGCTTCTAGAAGCTTAGTTCTTCGTTTCGATACCAAATGGCGCTGTCGGTCGAAAGATCAGTGATGTCATTTTCTGGAAAGCTCCCCTCGGTCTCGTTCCCGACACTAGATGGCGCTAGTGCCGGGTACATGACTTAGGCACGCAACAATAACTATGTAGGCTATTAAAACGTAGGCAAGCTTTCAACATCAATGGAGTGCAACTTGTATTTATTATATTGTAGTATACTTATATTTATATTCTAGTACTAGTACTAATTATTATATTGTAGTATTAGTATTTATTCTTTGGTGTTGGTATGAAACTTGTGTACATATGCAATGTATCATTTTATTTATTATCACGTAAATAAATGTGTGATAGTCTATAAGGATAAAAAAATATTTTTCAGACTTCAACTTACCCAAAAGTCTATATATAGATTCCCTTTCAGCAATGACCTGTAATGGATGTGGTGAGGGACTTTGTCCCCATGCTCGTACGGCCCATGCCGCGTCTAACGCTGACAGAAAACCACGAGCGCAGCCTGATCCTGTCGGCCAGAACGGTTCTAGCAAACTATCGCCGACAAGTTGACATAAAAGTTTTCGACCCTGTCTTTCGTACACCTAGAAATCACAACAAATTTAGTAGTCACGAGTTTGTTATAATTTATGAATTTTATTAATTAATATAGCCCATGAAGTCGCATGCGTCCGGCAAATCCCGAGCGGTCGCATGCGACCGCACCCACCCACTGCACTTTAAACCATTAAAACTTATGTTTTGAGACTACTTTTCTATGAAGAAGTTTGGCATTATAAAATCTATACATAATGCTCTATCCTGTAGTCTAAACAAAAGTCAGGTTTTAATTCATTACAAAAAGATTTTATTGTATTTTGATAACAAATAAAAACATACAAAGAGGATGTCGGCAGCGTGAAAATCACAATTATTTCTATATATTACTCGAAATTATTAACGTAAAAAGATAAATTCTTTCTTTCTTTCTTCTTTCTAATAAAACACTAGAAAAATCCGAAAATCAACACAATAACATTCACACGAAAATGGCGTACGAAATGAACGTAGATTATAAATAAATATACATAGACTAAGTGACTTTTTATTGCACTAGATAATTTGATAGATAGAAAATTTTATATTGAATCTATAATGCCAAACTTCTTCATAGAAAAGTAGTCTCTACAGGTTAAAGTGCTGTGGATGTGTGCGGTCACATTTGACCTCTTGAATTTTGACGCAATATCGAAGCGGTCAAATTTTGACGCTTGCCGTTTGAGAGGTTAAGAACTATTACTTCACTTACTGGCCAATATGTCACATTTTCTTCATATTTGATAGTGATATAAACATAAATTCTACCCAAGAAATGGACAGCAACTATTTTCTGAGATATAAAATAAAAAAATGTTGTACCCTGAGGACAGAAAAGATGATCCTAAAGCTGAAAGGAGGGATAGAAAAACTCCGCTGAGACATAATAACATATTCTGCGATAAGAATGCAGGTGGAAAACGTGGTTATTATTAAATATTTTATAATCGGTAAAATTAAAACAATAAATATATTAAAATGTTTTAGCATAAAGCTTTTTTCAGCTGTCGGTCCTAAGGATTTGTCGGATTTATCGTCGATAAAGTTACAAAATAAAGAAAATACATAGGTATAACTCATGTATGTACTTGTGTCATGTATGTCATGTCAGCCATAGGGGTAGGCCAATCAGTTAAAACTTACGCAAAATGTGTGGTGCGTGGTGATTTTTCTTACTTTCCGGTGTCCGATTCATTAGGCTAAAATTTTGCTTAAATGCATATTAAGTAGCTTGTTGCATGCTTGTAAGGAAACGGTACATTTTGTTTATAACATAGTTGCTTGTTTGATTCACTATCGCTGTGAGTGCAGCAAAAAACTAATAATAAATTAATAAATTGTTAAATTCAAGAATTATGTAAAACATTACTATAGTCTGCGTTGTAGCATGGTGCGAATGACAGCTCACGTCTATGTAGTTTCGTATTTTTTTTTTATATAAACTGTCATATAGATATTGTTGTACTTCATGGATGGGTACTGCCCACTTACGAGAGTGATATGGCACGCTAAACTATGCCATGCATAATGAACAACCACAGACAATCAAGAATCGATTTTGAAATAAATCGAATATATACAAATCACGTAAATATTTATTGAAATTGTGACTAATCGTTCAACAAATTGTTTATTAAAAGAAAAAAAATGCACATAGAAGAATGCAGTCCTTCCAATACATGGACGATTTTTAAATTGTCTGTCTGTTTGTTCTAGCTTATAATCGACACAAGCAGATAGCATTATAAGAAGTAACACAATGAAATTGTAATAGGATCCCGCGCAAAAAAAATTTAAACTTTTAAAATCCAATCGTAATAAACAACGACCTCGCTCGCGTGTTGTTTATTACGATATAGAAAGATTATCATCAATATGATCTTACCATACTAGCGTTTTCCGCCGCGTACATAGAAGTAAAGTCGAAAAGTGCGACATCGGGTTCACCGTAGTGGTTCAGAGCGAAGTCTCGTAACGGTAAGCGGCCATCAGTTGAAAATCGTGCAGCCTCTTGCGCATAACGCATCAATGCAGCACGATCTACATTCTCAACGCTCAGAAGCCGCGACACTTCAGCATAGTCCTAATAAAGAAAATACAGTAAAATTAACACAACACATAAATATATAACAAAAATAAAATGGTGTTTATATTAACCCAACTTCATCGTGTAGTGGCGGTGTAAGAATATCCACTACATACGTGTTCCCAGGGGAGTTTTAAAGGCTACATAGTTGTGCGAGACGAATAGTGCTGCGCTATGCATCAACTTCAATTATCGATACAGAGCACTCTGTCCGTGTCGTGAAATGAATATGTTTAAGTTTTAGGGCATAAAATAAAACAAATAAACAAAAGGTTTGTGATTTTTATTTTCCACCAAAAATAACTATAGTCAACCAAATCTAAGAAATACATTTTGACAGCTATCAGACTTATTGCACCAAGCATGCCAACCAAAAAAATGGGAACGTACAATATTCAATTCTTAAAAAACTCGATATCGATTATTTAGAGTTGGTAAACATTTACAGTTTGGTTTGAATAATACCAGAATAAATTAAAAACGGATAATTTAAAACACAAGATTTATTAGTTTCTTCGAATTTGTTGTTACTGCTAATTTCTAGAGGCACAGTTTTAAAAATTTCAGATTGGAACTAGATTAAAAATAAATTTATTCAATCACTTTCAGTACAACTAGTTGAGCTGTCGTTGTTTAGATTAATTACTACTTGAATTTCAATAATGCAGACAAAATTAATGTCTCTTTCAAAGTCATCCATGATTAATTTTTTTTTATTTTTTCGACCACTTTTGCTCAATCATTTTTGTGACATGGGCACATGTTTCAACGAATATAGAAGAAACAGTTCAAAAAGTTAAAGCCGAGTCACAAAATAAGAAGACAAACACAAAATTACGAAATTACGCACGTAAGTTCCCGAAATGTCGGGGGATTGAAATTACGTAGTGGTTTTTTCACCGCGGTCTTGTATATGAGTTTTTTACCTATACAAATTTACGTTGACAAAGTAAAAAAATAAACTTGTTTTATTCATGATTCATGTAATTTAAGGAATTTTAAAAATAAAAATTTAATTATACACATAATACATTAAAAAAAATTAATTACACGATTATTTGAATATTTTTACCGATTATTTAAATATTTTTGTCGATTATTCGCATAACAATAAATTATAATCATCAAACACGACGGTAAGGTACATACCGACATATCATTGAAACGACGTCAAGTAAAAAAAGTTGATACTGGTTGTTATTTTAATATTTTGCTTTGTTTGAAAGATTCGAATTTAAATTAGTAATAAAAAACTATACACATTGTAATGAAATATAGATAACATCATAATTCTTCGGATTTACGTAAAAGGATAATTTAAATCGTGTGAGACCTTTGTGCAAAGTTATTGCGGCATGATTAATGTGAAACGTCAAAAGGTATTTCTTAGATTTGGTTGACTATAATTTATTGTAAAAATATCGTAAGCTCTCCTTAGGGGTATTTTGCAATTTTGCTTCATACTTTAATCTAATAATCAAATAAGTTTCGATTATTAACTTAATAATTAAGTGTTTATGATTTGATATTGCAGGCGAATCATACATATGTATGTCAAGTATGTCAAAATAATTTTTGCAGAACTTTCATATATTTTCGAAAAATTCGTTCAGAATGAATACCTAGCTCATAGACGTCTTGAGAGGGATAAACGAGGCCACCTACATTCTTCATTTTTATAAGTGAACCTTCCATAACTTCACCATAATGTACATTTACACAGGATTCGCATTTAATTTTATTAGCAATTTTTTTTTTCACCACATATTATTCCATGCCTTCAGGAAACCATGGCAGAGATGATACGAAATTAGAATCTTTATTATAGACTTGGTTTGGGCCAATAGCCACATCGTTGTTTGTCGTCGTCATTGCACTAAGGCTAGTTGTAGTATTTAATGTGTCTATAGTAAACGATCTTTGTAGGTTGAGCATACTAATATTCTCCAAAGGCAAACAATTAGCTTTATCGCTGATTTGCACTTCCACATAGCAAATTAATCGTTTGTATGCTGCTGTGAATGGTCTGGCTGTAGGATTTTTCAAATTCAAATTCATTTATTTGCCAGAATGTATGTGTACAATAAAGTATGATCTTAAATTATGTATAATCTCCCATTTACATTCTACCACTTTATATGGTGTGAAAATATTTTATATAAATGGCAAAAAAAAAATAAAAACAAGTTAAGTTGAACAATTAAGTATACATGCAAAAAAAATTTAAAAACAAGTGGGAATTCAATTAAAATGTTACAGTGTGTAATGATTGTCCTTAATTGTTAATGTCCATACTTTCAGTTTTTTTTGTATTTAATTTTGTTATTTTTGTTAAAATTTTTGTTAAAATAACAAAATTAATTTTGTTATTTTTGTTTTGTTATCTTTGTTAATTTTGTATTGTTGTTAAATCCTCCTTTAGAACGTACGGAACAAAAAAAGTTTCTATATGATCTTAAGAGTTTATAGTGCGGAAGAAACTTTAATTTTCCTGACTATAAAATCGACATAAGGCCACTAAAACCAAGTTTTCTCTGACTCTCTTTCAAAGCTTGGTTGTGGTATTTTTAATTTTTAATATACTCAAAGACTTTGTCACATTCAGCTACAACATTTTAACATTCTTTGCATTTAAGGCCTTCTTAAATCCGTAGCTGAGTAAATTTCTGGAGTTGAAAATATCAAATATGGTGTTTATATGCTTTATACAACCTGCTGTCGCTTGGCAATTTTCAAACATAAGTAATTTTAATACGTCTTTGCAGAACTCTAAGCTGGTTGCAACAGAAATACATAACAGTTGCACTGCTAAGGTAGATCAAAGATACCACGAAAATAAGCGGGATTTGTTTCGTTAACGATTGACGTCAGCCCTATATAGGTATATAGCGTGTACGTGTATGGTCCAGTCATTCTATCTCGTTCTAACGTAAAATATGCTATGCTCTTTATTTAACATTGCCAATCTAACGTAAGTGTATACTAAATCTATGGAAGAAACAGTTATCGCATTGGTGGTTTAATTTTACTTTTCATCAAAGTGGCGTCATGTCTCCACCAGCACTCTGTATGGGCCCTAAAGGAAAAGATAAGACTGCCCCACATTTCTTAGGCCTAGTTTGATGAAGTTTACATGTCCCCAAAATACTCACATTACTGGTTATACGAAAATAATGCTGTAAAAATATGACTGAAATACATTAAAAAAGTCTTAGGAAACTTACATTCAACAACACTCCTTTATCCAAAAGGCTGTGTTTCTTAGCCGTCATCACGAAGTAATGAGTGTCATCTTTGTAGTAGACTATATTTTCAAGATCAATTCTAGTCACCTCATATAATTCCTTGAAGAATTTTTGATTAAATATAAAGGCAACTCCACTAATTTCTGGAACCTGATAAAATAATAATAAAATGAGTATATTCTTCTACCAATTCTACATAAGAGTATTGTTTAAAAAATAAAACAACATACACAATAGTAGACTTGTATGGAAAACAAAGAACAAAATTTGCAAAGTGCATGTAGAGGCACGGAAATAGGATTCGGCAGGTTACGTCTAATATTTTCCAAGGCTCAAATATATACTAATATTATAAAGATAGGGTGCGAATTTTTTTAGGAATGTTTTTGTAGGGTTTCTCAGGTACCACTGCACGCATTTGAAAAATTCTTTTACGATTTGAAAGTTAGATTATTCTATATAGACATAGGCTGTATGTTTAGTTTAAGAAATTATTATGTCTAAAGTAATGATAATATTCGTCAACTAAGTCGAAAAAAGCCGTGCCTCCTGAATGCTTTTAGTACAGTATTAATTCAATATATAGCTGAGTTGTTCGTCTTGAAACATTATAAATAAAAGTCCGCGACAGTAAATCTTCTAAGAACATCAATCAGTCAAAGAACCAGTCTATCTTCTAAGAACAACTAACTCAAAAATTCCCGCGAAACAATTATGGAAAATGGAGAATTCAATTTATTTTAAATTTTCAAAAAATCGGACAAACAAAACATGTGATATACGCCATTCAGTGGCGGTGCAAGAGAATCGACTACCCCATATCATTCTGTGGGTGTCGTAAGAGGCGATAGAGTGAAACTGAAATAGGTCATGGCTATTCCCTTTTTGAGGTAATTTGTCTAACAAAACTATTGAGGAATGAGGAATGCTTATGACATCAAAATCAACTAAAATGTAAATTATCTAGTTAGGCTTATCAACTATTAGCAGTTTATTATTCAACCAATTAATAAGTGATCTATCTAGTTCTTTTTAAAGAATAGAAAGAAAAGTTAGGCTAGGTAAAATATGTACCACCACTCCTTCTTTCTCATCGATTTGAATTACTGGCGTTACGATGAGATGTTGCATCCACATGGAGTTCTTATGTGAAATTTTCGGATTAATTCCAACTGTCAAATTCCACCATCGCACATCGTGACACAATTAGCGATACAATCCATATCATCTAGGTACTTGGTGATCCACTATTGTACGATTTATCAGCACTTCCCCTCATACAACTTCTTTGTGGAATCATGCTGACCCGGGCGTTAGTCATCCACCAAAAATTGAGCTGCATGCTCGTTAGTAACTCTTCTATAAAAAAATGAGACTACCTTTTTGAGAAAACCACAGAGGTGATAACCGTCGTTGTCATACGGTGATACCGCGTGGGGTGATGAGTGTATTGGTGGGTCTGAATTTTTCTCGTGTATTTTTTTTAAATATACATTATATTGTCAACATTTTTTTTTAATTTTAGTTTCAGCTAATGACTTTTGGTAATTGATCTAGAAAGTTTAATTTACGAATAGCAATTATCTAAAGCAGACTGTTCAACAAGGTTTTAATTCACGTAATTAACACTGCACCTTCTGTCTTCGGTTCCGTGAAGCGGTCTTGTTTCGCTTTTTCACGATTAGATGGTCATGTGCTACTAGCATTTAAGAATATACATAATATAAAGGATAGGAACAAAAAGGTCACCAGTAAAAAACTTACCGAAGCTTCCTGTTCTGTGTGCCTATTGATGAAGTTAGCTGTAATAGCCATTGCAAGTTTTCCTCGAAATTCTTTACGCTTGAAACCGTGCAGTGTATTTCGCTTTCCATCTGCACCCACTAACACATCAAACTCGTACTGTTTGACTGGATGTTCATTGGGAGAAACGCGCGCTCTCCAACCTAGTCCTAGACATATACAGACAAGAACGTGTTACGTTATGGACAATTTAAATTTCCCTTAATAAAAATGATATGAAAAATAAATGCCATCAAAAACATAACTTGTAAAAAAACTCATCTTCTATCGTAAAAAGTTATGAGACCCATATAATACCAAGTCGGTTTATTTAATTAATTATTTTAATTTATTCAGTCCCTACTTAAGGGTTTTTTGTTTTAAGTTATTACGTAATTAGCTAACATTACAACATCTTGTTGTGACCATATCAATATTAAAAATCTTTGGACATGGATCTCACAACTTTTTACGATAGACGAACAGTTACGAGACTTGTTTTTTTTTACAAGTTATATTTTTGATGGCATCTCATTTCTTTTTGCAGATAGTCCTTCTTTTTTTTCTTCCGGTACTTTCTACGTCTCGATTACCAACAAAGTACCTATTTACACCTTTTATTCTATTATATTATACAGAATTTGAATACACAAACAGGTAGACTGATTCATTCACTGCAAATTTAACTTTGTAATCCTAATTTATATAGGATTACAAAGTTATTTATGCATTTAGTGTATCTAGAGCAAACTGGACCGAAATTGAAAAATATTTTAGTTTTTCCTTGATTTATACACTAAACACTAATTGTGTTCTAATTTTGAAGCTTTTATGTCTGCTAGAAGTGCCTTAGAGTTTTGATGATCGGTCAGTCAGTGAGTGACAAAATTAAGAAACTTTGACTAATTATAATTCCTAAACTACTGGTTCAAATTGAATGAAATTTGAAATATACCGTGTCTATACAATGCCTGCTTGGTTAATTCAGGTTTCTTGTACTACCCACAACGAAGTTAAATGTCGGTCGAAAATAGCCTAAATTGCTTCGAGAAAAATATGGTACGGCCGTGCCGATTTTTTTCTCGACTTGGCGGGGGCACTGCCGCGCCCCCATATACAATATGTAACGTAATTAACGCACACCCTCAAACACCCCAATTAGTATATTATATTATAATAATTATACATACACTGAATTTTTAGTTAAACATTTTTATGTACTGATTATTTATCAAATTAGTTATACTAATTCCGGAAGAATGTTGTGGTCACAGTACAAATCCACGTACGCAAAGACTTTAACGTCTTGAAATAAAGTTCATTTTTCTTTATTTTTATTGAATGACAGAATTAGTAATACATAATACAAGTAAAACTGCACTCTTAAAAGTCTTATTGCCTTAAGTTACGGTCCATTTCAGTTTGTTTTGACTGTACAGTTTTAGTGTGACTGTAATTTACGTAGTTTTAATTATTTTTGGGATAAAAAATTACCTATATTAAAAATGATATGAAACGATTCAGTAAACGATTCTGAACAAACTACTTTCTCAAAGTGCGTTAATTACGTTACGTGTTGTATAATGGACGGATATATATACCTAGTCAGGTCATAAATTCTGTCACATGTTTAATATAAAATAATTGAAACAAGTTTATTCATTATGTAACCATTTATATACCAAAATAAACTTAACAAAACATAGATTCTTATGACACTTAAAGTTTTTTCAAAATGATCTCCGTGATTTTGAATACAGGCCTTCAATCTGCGCGGCCAGTCGTCTATCGCAGCACGAACGAGGTCCATGTCAATATCGGCGGCTACCTTAATCAAGGATGTCTTGAGTGACTCCAAATTGGGATGAGGCTTAGAGCACGCCTTTTCCTCCAAGTGTTGCCATATCTTATAATCTAACGGATTCAAATCTGGACTGGAGGAGGGCCAGTCTTCGTGCCGAATGAAGTCGATTTCACGCGCCGCCAGCCAGTGTTGTGTGCTCTTCGCTCTATGAGCTGGCGCCGAATCCTGTTGGAATACCCAGTGTCTGTTATTGAACATAGTATGAGAAACAGGTTCCACAAGGTTCGTCAGGACTGTACTTTGATACAAAACTGCATTCGTTTTTACACCTTTTTCACAAAAATGTACCTCTGTTAAGGCCCAATAAGAAACTCCCAACCATACCATGAGCGAGGATGGAAAATGACCTCGTTGGACACGCGGAATACGGTTGCTCGCTTCTTCACTACTGTGTGCGTACACCTTATCATTTTGTTTGTTGTAGCTCTCTTCTACGGTAAAAATTTCTTCATCCGAAAAAAGAATTTCCCGATATTTTTTCCCACGTACCGCTTCAACAAAGCGCAGCATCTCTTCAGTCTCAGGTCCATTAGACGAGCATTCAAACGATGTCCTGTTTTTCTTCGATATGCCCGAAGCCCTAAGTCTTCCTTTAACACCCTTTTCACCATGGTCCTGCTTAACCCCATCTGACGGGCCAACAGTTTCTGCTTACGTTTGGGATTTCTTTGAATTCGCGCCTTCACAGCTTTTATCACTGCTGGAGTCCTTCATTGTATCGTTTGATGGTACGATAAACGAATCTTTTGGTTATATTCAAATTTTTCTTAAATTAAAAGTAAAGGGCAACTACTAAGAATTTCTCCACGGAGAAACTCAATAATTGATTTTTTGGCCCGATCCGGGATTCGAACCCAGGACCTCATGATCAGCAGTGGCACTACTACAACCACTAGACCAACGAGGCAGTCAAACTCAAATGTGTGTCCAACTAAATGAATTTATAAATTTGAATTTGGAATTTTTAACCAAAGAGGAGATATTTCAGATCAAAGTGGTCAGTACGACAGTAATTTCATATGTAAGGACCCCAATATATATATATCCGAGGAGTCACTTGACAGCGTACGACAAAGGGGCCGGCTATTCATGACGCACTCGATTTGTGTGTGATTAGTACGGCGCTTAATTCTTTGAAAGACAAAATTTGATCTCCAATTACTCGGTATAAATGTCTCTTTAGACTACCAATCCCCCCCAAATTACTCGCGGCGGGGGCGTTCAGAGACCACACGATGCTGTTCTCAGCTAAGATGTGAGCGAACTACGAATTATAATATTTGGAGGTTAGAAATTCTTGTAATTCCGATAAAATACGTTTCGCGCCTACGTAGTTCGTACCGTTATCCGAGTACATTTAACTTACAGGGCCACGGCGAGAAAGAAACCTTTTAAATGCACCCATGAAGCTAGCCGTGCTTAGATCACCGGCAAGTTCTATATGCACAGCGCGAGTAGTCAAACATACGAAAATATACAAACATACGCTTTCGTAGATTCTATATCACGCCCGCGGGTTAGCGTGCCCTTGAACGGACCCGAAAGTCTGTCACGGTGTGCATAAAAGGCTTTGCGGATTGTGTTACACGACAAGACCTAAGATCCGCCATTTCCAGGAATGACGACCTAGGACGCACTCGAAAGCAAGCTATATAAATATATCTGTGCACACGATTGCGAATTAAATTACGTGCAGAAAGAATCCAGTAATTCTGACGCAAAATAGATATCAATAATTAGGGGCCAGCATGACAATGAAATTTATGGTGGTAATCAACTAATAAATTCAAAATATGATCCTTACGCTGCAAAACCATAGGGTTCCGTTGATCGAAACTCAAATGTGAGTTCGACAAGCGCCCACCTAATCTAACAATCCATTCTGCAAAAATGGCTTGAGGCGTTTAAAAGCACGACTACAAGTCCTATATAATTGTAATCTTGTAATTTCATCGGAAATGAGCACAGGTTGAAGCTCACGTAATATTATCAACTCGGCATAACTATAATCGGACGCAAAAATATACGGACGTCGTGGTAGAAGCTTCGCAAATCGACAAACTTAAATCACGCTACGCAATAATTTCGACCAAGAGGAGAAACGGTTTGCCAAAGCAATGATTGGAGAAACCTCACTCGAGGCATTCACAACCAGAGCGTGCCTCTTCTCTTCCGGTCGTTGAGATAATAATGAAGGGTCAAAATCAGCTATGGGCCACTGTGAGGGTTTCAAGTGAATCCAAGAAGGTCTTTGAAACCAAAGTGGGTGGTTTATTATTTGTATCGGAGTGAGTCCAGATAGACAGGGTTTTCTGTGCCGGACACATGACAAAAATTTTGTGATCCTGACTCGTCTTGAATCTTGGATCTTGGCCACTCGGTTCGCGACGAAAGTATTCCAACGATGGGGTGAAGAATGAACCCAACATAAGGGGACGGTCGAATCAGAAAAGGCAAATAATTTATCTATATGAACTCAATCACTAACTAACTGTAACTGCGGAGATAAGCTTGGCAAGGACCAAAATTGCGTAAAGCTCTAGGCGCGCAAGAGACAACCTTACGGGGAGAGACCCCTGATTTAGAGCTAATGAGGCTGATCGAATTCCTCCCATTGTTCTGGACGTGAAAATATACAACGCCGGTGTCTGTTGTGGCATTTGTTAATATGCATAACCGAACTAGAGTTACAACTAGCGACGCGATGCCAGTTGCTTAAACAATTCAAACACAAGTTGTTGGCCTTTGCTATTTTATAACGTGCGCTCGGTGAACGTTTACGGAAAGTCGCGCAATTATACAAATTACCGTGTTGATTATTTTTACGTAAAAAACAGGCGTTATGAGGTAATGAACGCGCGGTGTTTACATACGTCAGATACCTAGCTGTATTCGATGACGAGACCGGCTAATGGTCGGCGCACCTCTTCGCTTCCTGTTTGGCACTTGATGAACGTTGCATTACTTTGATTTGGTCTCGAACGAAAGATGCCAAAGATTCGAACGATGGTAATTCAGAGCCGCGATTCTCCATTTCAAACGAACGTACGGTGTCCGGGTCTAGCTTTTTTAATGCAATATGTAGAAACACAAAGTCCATAAGGTAATCAAATTTAAGATTTTTGAGGGCCACTGATGTTACGAATTTATCCAAAAATTGTTCGAGACCACTGATATTTACATATGACATAACCTTAAGATCGAGTATTTAATCCAGATATGAAGAGACCAACATTCGCTTATTTATTTTTATCATAGCGTGAAGGTTCTTCATGAGGAGCATCTGCTCTTTCTGGACAGCTCTCCTCGCTCTGTTACCCGACACTAGATGGCGCTAGTGCCAGACGTCAACTTAGGCGCGCAACAATATATATATCCCTATTTAATAATATCTCATCTACTTTAATAGAATATCACTTCCTTGGTTAGCTTACTTTCAGAATTCTCTGTGATGGTTGGCTCCAAAAGCTCTTCAAAGCTGACACCTTCATGTAACTCAACGCCCAGTAGCAAAGCAACCTGTTGGTTTTAATTAAGATTGGTTACATAAGAATGCATTGCTTTTGACAAAAATCAAACTTATAATTGATGGTGGTTAGTGGTTAGTGACCCGACTGCATGCGGAGGGGGCCAACCCCACAAAAATGATGAGGAAAAATGTTTTTGGGTTAAAAATATAATATGTTTTTTGGTTTTAAACACAAAAAAAAATGGGAGGTGGGGTGTAATAACATAAATAACAAAAATATTAGACATAGAGATACTGTAATATAGCAGTACTGCCTACCTACTACTATAAGAGTTACTTAAGTTGTCGTTCAAGTTCATCATATCAATCAAAATAATCGTTCAAATGATGTGCAATTTTGGTGCACCCAGATTATCCACACCAGCCTGTGTATCACAGAACTGGGCAAAGATATTATAAAGGCCACTATTCTAACTGGAGCATCTAAAGAAGATTTTGCTTTGATAATTTAAATATGGGTAGTATTTAAATTATTCCAAAAAAAAAAACATTTCAATTAAAGCCTACAACACTACCACCTCGCAACATTTAGATGCGTTGTTGTTTGTTATAATTGCAGATGCGTTGCCGGCCTTTTAAAAAAGAATAGACTCTTTTCTTGAAGGTCCCTTAGTCGTATCAGTTCGGAAAAATCTGTGGTGGTAGTCAATTTCACAAGGAAGTTGTGCGGGGAAGAAAAATTCTTCTAAATCGCACAGTGGTTGACCGGCAACCATCCGGATGGTATGGATCACGGGTTTTGTCACGATATGCGAATGTAAAATTAAGCGGCTGGAATTAGTCCAAAGAATTCCTCAGAGCACTACCCGCGGTAGATGCGATAAAATACTCAAAGAGATACAACATCTCTTCGCAGGGCCAGTGAGTCAAGCCGATCATAAAAAAACTCGGTTGCCGACGATTCGAACACCTCTGCGCTGGATGCGATCAAATGTGAGGAGCTGGCACTGGGAAGACTCAACCCAGAGATGGGAACATTATTCCATGTGAGGCCGAACATGTGCCTTGTTAAACTGCAGGCGGTGTGCCGGCATGAAATTCTGTCCTACCCTGCTGTGTGCGCCAATCGTATTAGAGATCAATTTGGTCTTCTCTTCCAAGAGACCACGAAACTGCACGTCGCTCGATATGTGACACCGAGGATTCCGACACTAACTGAGCAAAAGGGGGGTGCCTTGAAACTGAAGAGATATGACAGAGGGGTTCTTTTCAGCGGTAATCGCGCAAACTTGTGTCTTATGGGGATTGAACTGGATTCGACTGGACTGAAGATTTAGTCGCCCCCAGTCAACATACTTTGTTCAATAAAGGCTCGACTTCAGACAAAAGTTTGATCCGGTACTCGGCGACGTTTTCCTGAGAAACATTGGCACGGCCGGTGTATAAAGCATCATAGACAGTGCTTATAACAGTGCTGTCATAAGCATAGCAATGAATGGTTGGAGTTGAATGGTAAATACTGGTTTACAACATTTCATTGATATGCAGATAAACAGCGTTAGTGATAACACACAGCCTTGTGAAATACCGTTAACGGGTTTGTAATCGGAGCAAACACGGAGAGTTTAAAATAGGAATATTTTTGTAAGGAAACTTACATGCGAAGATTAAAACTTGGTCTTTGAAAGGACAAGAAAGTTTTACGTTTATAATTTCCCAGTGAGTGATGAAGCACAGCATCTTGGGAATTAAACTAACAGACCACATCCAAAACGCAATCCACACAATATTTATTAAAAACTATAGTAATATTCAATTTATACTATAGTTTTTAATAAAAACTAACCATTTTTGACCCAGATTTACTAGTCTGATTTAAACAAATTACGCTTTACATTTCTTTTACCTTCATTAAAATACACTGCAACTGACGTATACTAATGTGGTCAATGGAGCCAGCACAAAACTTTCCAAAAAACTTTTTTGCACCGAGCGCGCGTAGATCCTGGATTACAAAGGGCCACAAGTGTAAGACGTTGTTGCGTGAAATCCGATCACGCTTTTCGATCACCACCTACGAAATATTACCAAAATATTATATGGTATAGGTAAAAGATAAAAAATAAGGAAAGTGTATACTTAATAAAGCTCTAAGTTTTATGAAATAAAAATAAAAAAAGAATAAAAATATTAAGTTTTTGGTAGGTGAGGCAAAACGACGTTGTGGTTATAACTGTTAATAATTACTCGAAGCGGCTAAATTATCAAGAATTTACCCCTAACTTACAAAGTATATGATGTCGATGCCCAATGATTTATGAAGACAGTTAAAGACTATCTAATTAGCCTAGCACGACCATTAAGGAAAATCCTACCTACGACAGGAGGCCATGTCTAGCAATGGGCTTTAGCGAATTGGCTTTGATGATGAAGAGATCTCATTGTACCAAGACTGGTGCATAAACCAGTTTAATTATTAACTGAAAACTGTTTAGAGATTCTAAGTATAAAATACACAACCATTGCTGACCAATTCCTGATGTTGACCACGTTATTAATAAGGACCTTGAACTATAAATCCGTCATCTACAGTCAACCCTGTCACCTGTACCAAATTACCATTATCATGAACCACGTAACGTTTTCAGACATATGTCAATTTTGGGTGAATATTTAATAATAAATAGGCAACATCGTTATCGATATGGCAACATGAGAGCTATATTTTAACGCGGTATTGTGCCGGCGCAGCGACGTAACTTCCATGTTCGGTGCTCTGGAACTTTTATTGATTTTGTTTGAAATACTGAATGTAGGCATCTACATCTTTCTAATAACGTAATATTATTGGGTAGGAAATGTAATATTTCGTTTTTAACATTATGGTCTTAACATTTATCTATAAAACTAACTTGTCAAAGTCAACACACAAGTGATATCACGTGACTGTCTGCTGTATGCGGTAAACTGTATGCTAAGATATTAATTGAAAGAGTTATGAGAGAAACTGATGGAAAAATTTGGGATATGCAGCGGGATTTAGATAGGGAATGGGGTGTACAGCTGAAGTCGTTTCCATGCGCATAATTGCGGAGAAGTTTTTGGCGAAAAACCAAAAAGTTTTTTGTGTAGTCATGGACTTACGACAGAGTGGACAAGGATATGTTATGGCAAACGCTGAACTCATTTACGTTGAGCGCTGGGTTGATACAGGCATTAAAGTCTCTGTGTAGGGACTTAGCTGTTAACCGTCAAATGCCTTTTGTACGCCGATGATCAAGTCATACTTGCGTCGTCGACGGCCGAGTTGCAAATGATGGTTACAGTAATGAACTGGGCATTAAAAGAAAGGGGAATGAAAGTGACCGCAAGTAAGACGAAAGTAATGGTTTTTGAAAGAGAAGATAGCAACACAATATGTGAAATAAGAATAGAAGATTGGCCTAAAGATCTAGATACCAGGCCATAAACTCCAAAAAAAATAAGAATAGAAGGGTAGATGGTCGAGCAAGTAGATGAATTTATATATTTGGGATGTGTATTCAGCAAGGATGGGAGATAGGATAACGATATTGAACGACGAGTGAATGCTAATGTAAACTCTATTGTGAAATGTCAGAATATGTCAAAAAGGCATGTATGGCAATTCACAACGCTGTATTAGTCCCTACTTTAACGTATGGTAGTGAAAGTTGGGTGTGGCAGAAGAAGCACGAGAGTAGAATAAATGCAGTAGAAATGCGGTCACTAAGGAGTATGTTATGGCTGCATCTAAGTGACAGGGTGAGAAACTGTGTGGAAAAAAGTGTGGTTTGCAGGATGATGTGGTGACCAGGATTAAGAAAGGAATGCTTCGGTGGTTTAGTCATGTATAATGAATGAGGAAAGAGTGGCAAAGCAAATATATGTTACAGAAGTGAATGGAAGTCAGAAAGGGACGTCCTAGGCTAGGTTTGTCGACCAAATTGGCGATATATTAAAAATGAGCCAAATTAAGAGTACCCTTAACCGACGAGCATGTATGCGTAGGTATATGGATGTGTAAAAGGTGAGAGAGGTACGTCAGGGTCGTGGTAAATGGAAGTCTGTAGTCTCTGCCTACCCCTCTGGGTGACAGGCGTGTGTTTATATATGTTATTTTATTTTCAGAGTATACTCAGTAAGTTTCAAATCGCCCTGTAAAATAAAAAGTATCATACATACTGTTGTTACACTATATTTCACCCCCTATCTATCAAATAGGTATCTATCAAATAATTTACAATCTGACTGAATAAAAACGTGAAACAATTGAACTATTTAATTTTGACAACTGTAGTTTTTTTTAAATCCTGTGACCAACTTTTGTCTGATGACTGGTAAATCAACTCTCAGTCGAATAACATTATTACTAAGATATTTAATTTTATATTCGTGACTTATATTTTGTGACTTCATATAATTTATTCATCTTATAAACTATAATATTTTTTATTAATCTGTTTGTTCCAAAACGAAATTAACCAACATATTACGCATTCTATCCATGAAAGCGTGTAATTCACTTTCACTTATGCTTTTCTTACGTCTAGTATTTAAATTATTTTATATTCTCTAATCTCCGTTCATCTCCGACACTTAGGTATTTTTGGCGGCATAAATTTTATTCTAACATTTCGTGGAGAGAAACATAGCTGCGCCCTCAGCGGTACAGGAATTGCTATTTTATTTCAAAACTCACGAGACTGTAGTTTGTGATTCGTGCCCGCCAAAGAGACGGTAACACTCTCAAACTTGGCGAAAATAATCGGAATTCGGGTGGGCACAAGGCGGGTTATTTGCGACTAATGTATTGCTAGTTAAGTTCCAGACCGTAGAACCAGTACAGGCCAACCAATTTCTTACATTTTACGTATCGCAATCCTACTACCGCTGCAGCCGCGGGTAAGTATCACGATGTATCAGTTCATAGCCTTAGTGGTAATTATGAACTAAGTATTGCTTGCTACATAAGAAGCAATAAAAAGTAACTTGCATTAAAAACAGGTTTTGCATGCTCTCCTAGTACTTGTTTTGTTAAATGCCATACCCGTCATTATAATTCGGCTTAAAGGCATGAATATTTATTTTAATGTCCAAGTTTAATTAAAGGGTTCGTCGTTCAAAAAGGTGTAAATTTAAAATAAACCATCAAGAATCATTAAAAACATAAAACTTACCACTTTGGCACCTAGAAGCTGACACTCAATCGCCGCTCTGAGACCACATGGACCGGCACCAATTATGAGTACTTTTGTCTGCGCACATGATTTACCTTTGCCATACACCTTATGGTTAGCACGTAGGTCAAATTTTTTGAACAAAGCCTGGGCTTTCCACGACTTGGCTAACTTTGCCTGTAAACGTAAGTTATAGAACAAATTATTATGATGCTTAACACATTTTGCAAACTTAAAAATGAAAGTAAAACGAAATAATAGTTGAACCGCACTTATGACTAATATCTTGCAAAAATAATAATAATTTGAAGATTTCATTAATGCATAGGGGTCATCCAAAGGGAAAGTACGTTAAAAGCTTTTGGTAAGATAGGCTTAGTTAATTAATTGCTTCAGTTATTCGTAATCATGTTAACACGCATGCCCCCAGATCAAGTGACGTAAAAATAAATTAGTATATAATTAAATCACGTTTTCTTTACATATATTTATTAATTAGTTTAAAATATCGTGAAAAATTATTGGTGACATTAGAGACCCATTTATTGTGTTTGTTTCATCTTATAATTATCTTTGTCGTCAGTTTGAGCGCCTAACCTTCGCTTCACTTCATCATCATCAAAATAAAACTTCACTCCACTCTCTAACCGTATATTTAGTTATTATTACGAAGATGCTGCTGCCCATCACCCATTTCAATTTCAATCTGTCGCCGCTTACGACACCCACGGGATGTTATAGGGTAGTGTCGTACGCTGCCACCACACGACGACGCATGCCGAAATCCCGGGTATTTTTGAAACGGTCCCGAAAACGAAGACAGACGTAAATATTAAGGATAACTTTGACGATAAGACGAAAAGAAAATCGATCCCGATAAAAAAAAATTAGAACTTAATTTCTTAGTTTTATTCACGCTCTATTATGTTAGTACAGCTAAATGAAAAGATAATTTGATAAAAAAATCATGAAAATACCTAAACATAAAACCAGCAGTGAAACTTAAATACCTGAAATCTAGCGGGTAAGGGCCATTGTACGTGTGACGCCGAATCCGATCGGCCCGCAGCCACATGAGTAGATAAACGGAATTATCTACTCATGTGCTCCCGCGATCGTACTAATATCAAATAATTTACAAAACTTATAAAAATACCTAATTTATCTACTTATTATGCCTACTAATATGCCACTGTGCTAGTCTCCACCTAGCCACTTTAATTCGAATTCACAGATTAAATAAACCAAATTGTTGGTTCAATTGTCCATTAATGTAAAATTTACTTAAATTATCCGTCGTGTAAGCTTGCACTTTTTACACTTACATTCCCAACCTTAATTTTATAAGTTTAGTTATACCTACGACTAGTCTTCATATGGAATTTAGAAGTTATAATTGTCATTTTGTACATTTTGTTTTGTGTCAATCAATTGTACCCTGAGGCAACAAGCAGCTCGTTACTACAAAAATGATATTGAAATTAATAAACGTAGTTAATTGGGTACTCACTTATACAATTATAAATTAAATTTCATCGTTATCTTTGACTTTGTATAAGAAATTAGAAGCGAAAAGGAACTATAATTTAATAGTTATAGTCAATTGCAATTATGATCGATAGTTAACTAATTTATCACAATTAATCCAAAAAATAATTCTTTTTATTTTAATTGACTGTCCTTTTTCAATCCGTCCAATATCTTGAATTTAAAAAGGAAGTAAGTTAAAACTATTAAAATTAATTCCAAGGTTTATTGTGATTGCCGCCTCTAATTCTTATTTCGTCTGCAATTTTTAGTAAAATTTCGGTTTGGCGACGCCACACGTTTTTACGTGGTAGAGTTATGCTTCTGTTATATTAGTAGTACAGTTGTAGCACGAATGGGTCGGCTCGACCTGGGAAGGACCACGCTCTCACAGAACACCAGCGTAAAATAGTAGCTTAATGCTGCTGTGTTTATATGGTGAGTGTAGAGAACCGGAGACCTTTTTTACTGGAAACGAGGCATTACACTTAAGTCCTCACGGATGACAACGCATTCGTAATTCGCGATCGATATCTATCACTTACCATCAGACGGACTGTGTGCTCGTTTGTCACCCTATCCTATGTATAAAAAAACAACATGTGTGTGAAAGGGCCGGTAGAGTGAGTGTAAATACAGTAATTCCTAATGCATTGTTCCGTACCGATCTCATTTAAAAGAGTTCAGCGTCCGCGCATTTTTCGACCCTTAATCAGCTGATTTCAGGTATTCTAAGTATTGAAGTTTCGCTGCTGGTTTTATATTTAGGTATTTTCACGATTTTTAATGAAATTATCATTTCATTTAGCTGTACTAATATGATAGAGCGTGAATAATGCTAATTAAACGTTGTAAATAAAATAGTTTTTTATCGAGATCGATTTGCCTTTTGTCTCATCATCGAAGGTATCTTTTATATTATCGTCTGTCTTCATTTTCGGGAGCGTTTCCAAAATACCCGTTATATGTATTAAATAAAATACGATTAACAGAACAGTACATAAGGTGTTTAGCATAATATATAACTAGAAAAGATGAGGGCATTTGTATTTCAGCTAACTATAATAATATATTTTGTGGTTGGTCGTCAGACGTCGCCATAGTTAGAAACAACCCAACAGCCATCATTATTTAATAAATTCTTATATTTTGAATTAAATAAAAAGTTGTTTTAAATTTGTCATCTCGCATTGCTACTAATGCTATATAATTTAGTTTAAAATAAAATCTTAAGCGCCTTAATGCCAAAGAGAACATAAACATTACATAAGTTCAAATAAGCAATACAAACCCAAGTTATCGCGCTCGCTCTCATCAAATTCACATTCGCAAAAAGTGTTTAATAGGTTCATCATTCGCCTGACAAAATAACATTCGGCTAGCGCACTCATTATCACAATTGATAAACAACGCGTCATCGTGTAACAATTAGTGATAGTGATAAAAATGCAATTACCGTGAAAGCTAAGAATGAAAGAGGAAATAAGAATTAACATCCTTTAAAAAGGCAAATTGAATACACATTTAGATTCAAACGGCTCCGTGGCGCAATAGCTTAGCAATGAGTTATAGCGCTGAGGGCCGCGGGTTCGTATCCCGCACGGAACAAGTATTTGTATGACTTAGACACAGTTACCTTGTCTTTAGATAACTAACTCTCATAATACTCTCATAATTTATGACGTACCAAGTAGTTATTTTAATAGAGTAAATAAGTCGCAGAAGTAATCAGGAAACTACTTAAGTGTCAGCATCGTCACCATTATTTTGTCTGTCAAAGTTTAGAGCTCAACACAGGCCTCCAAACAACTCCAACAAAGCCATCTACATTCATAACTACAAAATACCCATCAAGTCTTCATTATTTTTATATTTTCTTGGTATGAACAGTAAAAACAGTATAATTTATATAACAGTAGGTACAAGCTCCAAAACAACTGAGAAAAAGCTACTATAAAACCTTACAGCACATAGATATGTTATAATAACCCTACAACATAATAAACATAAACTCACAAATAGTCACCTATTTTAACCTTATTCAAAGAGGGTAAAAGTGAATTCGCTAAAAGCGATACATGACGTCTCACAGTTAGTTAAATATTATGCAATTATTAATGTTTTTATGGTCAGCACTGTTACTCTGATGGATATCGTTTGCTAGTAAGCACTCCGCATTTGCGTTATGTCTTTTTATTATGATAATATTTTGTAACAAAAACTGTAATAATGATTTAGAAATCCATCCACTTATAATGTAAACTAACATTTACGTTATTCAACGAAACTAAAACAGCAAATATCGAAACGAGACCAGCTAAGATTTTCACGAAAATTAAGTTGTATTAAATCATGAAAGTATGAGAATGAAAGGTGATACTCGCAATGAAGAAAGTAAACCAGGCGGGTGCGAGAAAGCATTTAATATAAAAATATGCAGTTAAGGTAAGTAAATTAAACGTTATTGCATTTACCAACGTTCTGTTTTCGAAACCTAAAATTGGATTTAGTGTGATTGACCCATGACCGTGATGTTGTAGTCTTCAAGCTATTTATTACCGCGTTTCGAAGGCATCCAGAACATTCGCATATTTTTCAGTGGCAACACGTCAAACTGTATGCAAATCGGAGTAACACTTTACTTAAGTGCTTACGACATTTACAATGTCCTGTAGAGTTAAATCTAGACATTAAATCTCCCAATGAAATAATTTATTTCTTTAGAGAAATTTGACTTAATTTAGAACAACTAATGTTTTCAAAGTATCATTAGATTTAACACGAATAACACCAGTTCCTTTCAACAAAACATATTTTTATCACATCGGCGATAAAGTCTCTTCAATCTTGCAAGCAAAGTAGTTGTAATTAACCTGGTTATATAATTAAGAAAATAACTTGTTTTTCTACAATGGCTGTGCTATAGAAAATATTCGAGCTGTGTGTTTAAAAGGTAGACAGAGAAATATATAGACTAATGATTAGCGTGGCCTTGAGTGAGAAAGGACAATAACGTAGTTTTAAGTTATACAATAATCTTTATGACTTTCAAACATATTTAGATAAAAATTTTAATTGTTCTAATAACTGAACTGAACAAGATTCACCAATCTTAAGCTTACAAAACACTTTTTTTCTCACTGAAACCAACTTGTAAACTTCTTAGATCACTACGAACTGTCAAAGTTGTTTAGCAAAGTGTAGTTTGCTAAACAAACAACCGGCACGGAGAAAGGGACAAACAATAACACCGCTGTCTCATTTCTATGCAAGACGTATGCATATATCTATCTTTTTCGTGTGCAAATGCGAAAGAAGGCGTCAATTTGTCTATAGGTTTCTTTGTCTACGGTTTAAAAATATGGACCAGAATTAACAGTTTTGTGGTGCGTGACATCTTTAACTTACCTGTATTAGTGTGCCTGACGTTACGATACCAATACAAAGGCTGATATAAAAAAATAATTTTACCACCGTACATTATATCTAATAATAAATTTAAAATAATTTAATAATAAATTTTACATGTATTATCATACGCCGGTCACTCAGAGAGATGGCAGAGACTACCGTCCTTGAGACGAACCTGACACACCTTTCTCGCTTCTTTTATATCCACTTAACTACGCTAACGGAGAATATCACACAAGTATTTTGTACACACATATTACGTAACAGTCAGAAAGAGAGAAAACATGTAATTGTACGATAGAAATATAAACATGAAAACAAAAAGGAATTGTGGTATAATGGCTACAAGCGAATTCTTCCTGAGACAACCTTCAGATGGACAGATGTGCAAGAGAACAAAATTAGACTTAATAAAACGACTTCAAAGAACTATAAAGAGTAAAATAATTTCCTTATAAAAGCTTCAGAAGTTCATAGAATTAATCCACGCTATCCTAAAGTTGCTATGTAATTAAGGTATTTACTTTTTAATTTTATGACCCTTCTAAATGGACTAAGGAATAGCAAAAGCTCGAATGTCGTCTAAACAGTTACGTTAAAAACTTCATCCCCTATTTTTCCACCCACACTCCAAATTTAAATGAATGAGTATTAAGCTTTTGTGTGTACTTACAATATTGGAAACAAATAAATAGGTAGTAAAACATATTACAGACCTTTAGTTTTGGATAGAAATCGGGAAGCCTATTTGGCTTCAGGTTGAGCGTATTGCATATTTCCCGATGCAATGCAAGGATTTGTTTCATAGTCCCCGCCGAACAGAAGTGGTCGAACATCTCGGCGGCCAGCGCGCACTCCGGCGGGGTCGGTTCAACACGCCCACTCTTATTCATTTTGTGGGCTGTGAACAATTTAAACAAATATTTTTGTAATAACTATATCAGTATTCTTTAGAATACATACGATTACACAGAAATCAGTAGTATGTACAATGAATCATATATAGGTATCCGGTTAATAGTGGATCAAATGAAATGTGGCGAGATGAGATCATACCTTATGAGAACAGCAAAAATTTTTTTTAATAAAACCTATGTTTAATATTTTCTGATTTTCAAGATATTATCGAAAATGTATCAACTTAATACATGTAATTTATACAATTCTATTAAAATAGCGAAATTTTTTTTTTATTGAACATTATTTCTGACTAGATGAATGTTCATTGCAGTTTACCAAGTTTTTTGTATTATTTAACATCACAAAAATTTGAGATTGTGTCCAAAATTAGAGAGGTGTAAACAAAACTAGCAACCAAACAGATTTTCAAGTTTATCAATTTTATCCACATGCTATGTTAAACGATTTTTATTTTATCAATGAACGACTATTATTTTTGTCCATGAATGATACACAGGTACTCTTGTTAACCTTGATATTGCTAACTGAGCCCATCCTTGCACCCATGAATGCCACGCCTGAGAGATAGCAAGTCAGCTCGAACTTCATTAAAAGTGAAAGAGACAGATAACCCGGTCCTTGAAATTTCCGATTTCTTTTGTCATTTGTTGTTTCCTATTTATTATTTTCTAGTGCACAGTGCATTTTTTCACGTCGCATTTGCTACATGTTTCATCAGATCTCATTTTCTACTTATGAACTCGAAATTGTACTTTGAACTTTGATTTGTTTTGTGATTTAAATGTTGGATTCTGTGACAACTACGACTTTCTTCCAGATTTTGTATAAATAAACTGTATATATATTATATCCTGTATAACTTTCAATAATGTCCCTTAAGGTGCATGTTAATGTCTCTAACATCAAGCGGCCAAATTTGACCGCTTCGATATTCCATCAAAATTCAAGGTATGGTATCAATATGACCGCACCCACCCACAGCACTTTAACCCATAAAAACTTATATTTATAGACTACTTTTATATGAAGAAGTTTGGCATTATAGAACCAATATGAAATTTTCTATCCTCTAGTGGAATAAAAAAGTTAGTCTATGGATATTAATTTATATTTTACGTTCATTTCCTACGCCATTTTCACGTGAATGTTATTGTGTTAATTTTTGGATTTTCCTAATGTTTTATTAGTGTTTTAGTATAGTGTTTTATTATAAAATTGTAACGAAAGTTTTTGTGTGAATATATCTTTTTACGTAAATAATCAGCACAGCGACTGATTTTAGTTTTTAAATGTCTAATCACTACAGTATCTTCTGATTAAATATATACTTGTTGATCACTCTTACAAATAACTTTATTTATCTTCACGCACAATCCCTAACGGGGTAGCCAGAGATCAGATCGCCAAGTGTCACGATCCTTACATACCTCTTTCACTTCTTTCAGGTTCATATCTTCTTCATACATGCACGTCTAGGTATCCGAGTACTCTTGACCTTCCCCCTTTTCGCGTAATTTGCTTATATGGTCTTCGAAAGTTAGTCTCAGTCTACCTCGACACCTTTTAATATTTACTTTCGTGCTATATATTTTCTTCACCATTCGGTCTTCACTCATTCGCTCAATGTGCCCAAACCATCGGTGTACGCCCCTATCAATTTTTGTGATAAGGTCATCTTTCAATCCTGCCATATTGCGAATCTCTTCATTTCGCTTTCGGTCGGCTATGGTAATGCCGCACATTTTACGAAGAGATCGCATCTCCACTGCATTCAACTTGCTTTTATGCTTCTTCTGGCATACCCGGTTTTGCTGCCATATAACAAAGTCGGTACCAACACTGTGTTATGTATTGCTCTTACAAATAAAATAATAAAAATTATTTATAGAGAACTAAAAAATGTAAAACATCAAAACCTGTAAAATATTATTTCATATAATGATTTTTAAACCTCCTAACAAAAACATGATCTATCCACAATAAAATTTAGACTTCCAGACTGATAGCTGGTTAAATACCACTAACATTTTAATGTTTTATGTATCTACATAGGCCTATGTAGAGGCCTATGTTCAGCAGTGGACTTGTGAATGGCTGTAATGATGATGATGATGATGTATCTACAAGCCATTTAATAAAACAAAAAGTTAGTGACCTAAATTTATTCAACACCTATTTAAAGCAATGAGTAATTTTTATCACAAACAGTGTACTGTATAATATTTGGCAACTTGCCCAATGTGCAGCTTCTATCTCTGTCATTTTTTAATTTGACACTACAAGTAAATAACTTACAATATATAAAATTTTATATCACATATTATTTTATATACTTATTGAACCATAGTTAAGAAACTCTAAAAAAGAATATTTTATTTACCAAAACTACATTACATTGGTGTTGTGTTTGAACAAACACTTAAAAAATGAATAAATTTGTACACCTTATGGCGAAATAGGGCTTTTATAGTAATTTATTCAAACACATTTGTAATGGCTAACTTCGTATTTGGCACACCTAAAATTTCTTCGAAAAGTGTGACACCTGTAGGTGAATGGACTGTAGTATAAATTTAGAAAACATGCAAACGTTCATGTGCTACGGTAATTTCACTTTGTTACACTCTCAGCAACGAAATAAATGAACAAGGCTAATTATTTTAAGATACTAAGATAGTAAAAAACATACACTTTAATAAAGGAACTGTAAACATTTCCACGAAAGTAATCTCATATACAGAATGAATACGTTAAATGTAAAAATAAAGTGATAATAAAAGGAAACTAAATACAAATATAAATACACAATTACTTACGGCTTGAATACAAACAGATGGAAAGGGAAGTGACTGGAAAATCATTTAAAACACATTAATACCATTCGTCATCCTCGATCATTGCCATAGCCATAGATAAATAAATATGTAGCAAGCTAATGCTTAAATTTTCTTAGCAATTTCTTTAGTTCTTGAAAAAATTTTTTTATAAACTGGCTTTACGGCTCTGGGTTCTAGCCCTTTTGAGATTCGTACTTGAAAGAGTAGCACAGATATCACAGGTCATTATATACACTATGGAGTCCTTACTTCTAGTAGCATGAAGGTTAAAGAACAGGAGAATGATCGCCGTAGAAAATAGTGTCCCAGAAATATGGACACCATAAGTGAGGCGATGCAATCACTAAGTTCGGTCAATAAGTCATTTTCAGTCTATTTTCCCGATCAGATGCTAAACACTTGCACATCCAAGCACAATAAAATATTTCTCCATTTTTTAATGTTTCTTTTTGTCAAAAATTACAAAATTACGGAGCGTGAAAGTTTTCTCACCAATTCTCACCAATGCCGCGGAGAAAATTTGTACATTATTCAACTAACTTCATCTACTTGTACTCATAAACAGCTAACTTCGCAGTCACTATTCAGCGACGTCAGCGCCGCTATAAATTCTACAATTTTCAAGGACAGGCGGGCTATGCTTTAGTACGTAGTGATCGTTCTCCTGTTCTCTAACCTTCACGTCTAGTAGGGAGGACAATCTCCCATAAGAGAATAGTTAAAAATGTGTCCATATGCAAGTAGTAAATAACAATACAAATACTCTCTACAACAGCGCTCGAGTAGCTACGGAGTATGTTCGTTCGCTTCTTCTTTTTCTTTTCGATCGTACGGGGTGTGTTAGTAGTAGGTACGGGGTTGTTTGTTATGTATAATCGCTGTATAATACGTTGAGAGTGACTTCGAAAATAAAATTTTTGAAAGCAATAAAGTAATTACTGTGAAATGAATTATAGTGAAAGTCTGGGCAATAAAAAAATTATAAAAAGTTCTTTAAAATTTAGACCGTAGCTAAAGTGGCACCATCCTTGTTTAACGCTTTCCTACGAACACTTTTTATACAGAATCTGTACTCCTTACCTCTACACTCATAATATACACATTACAAAGTCCAAGGTGGTATAGCATATAGGAGTCTGACGTATTTATTGTAACAGCTAAAACATCATTTTTGCCATAAATGGCGATGAAGTATTATTTTTTGCAGCGTGACTTAAAGATAAGCGGACGGACGAACTATGAATAAAAAGTATTTCATTTCAATCAATCATTCAATTAAATAGTTAATTATTTCATAGGTAATGCTAAAAATTACACTTGAAATACGTCTAATCTAGTATATGGTAATGTTTTTAAACTACATGCTCTGTTCGGAAAGATGATTTTTTATAAAACTTTAAAATGGGAATTGAAATTAAAAGCATACCTTTTATTTGGGCCCAAATTAATTCAATAGCGTTATACTGGCAATGGTAGGGTGGTAGTAAAAGGACCTGGTGGTATTTTTCTTTTGCCATCTTGTCCAGACTATAGGTAAGAGTTGGTGGCTTATGACCCTGGACTAAGGTAGTAAGCTCCGCCTTTAACATTCAAACAACTCAGCCACTTCACCAACTCGCTTTTGCGGTTGGATTGGTTTGGGGGTTTATTAACTTGTACCGAATGGTACGGTGCGTTGTCCAATATTATTGTCATAGGATCTTTTAAATTATTTAATAGGCCTATGAACCAATCTTTGAATTTTTCGTAGTTCATCTCCTCATGATACTCCGTAGTTTTTATTGACTTATAGGATCTGCAAGTTAGTAAATTCTCTAAATTTATAATATTTATAATTATAAAAAATATAATTTATAATTTATTTATTAATAAATAATAATAATTTCGTTATTTTCTTTTTTTAATGACATTATATACACGTAAATTAAACGTTGATAGATCATTCCAACTAGCGCACAACAGGCCGCTTTTATTGAGACAAGTGATTGCAGTGCTTCACTTATTTTGTCCATATTTCTGTGACGCTATTTTCCAATGTCGTATTAACCTCATGGTCAGTATATTCTAGGTCTATGCCGACCACGCTGGACTGCACGGTCCATCTTATGATATATAATGTACGTCCGCTCAGGATATTCGGTAGAATTCACTAGTTAGTCTGTGCACAAGATAATGGAGGTTAGAGAACAGGAGAGCGATCTCTACATGCTAAAGCATAGCCCGCCTGTCCCTGAAAATTTGTAGAATTTATAGCTGCGCCGCCGTCTGTAAGTAGTAACTGCGAAGTTTTTTTTTCAAAATTTTAGAAGTAATTTTCGCAAAACGACAATGAGTAGGCTTGACGAACGTCAATAATAATTATTAATTGATTGCTGGATGCGCTGGGTGCATTTTGTATTCAGCAAGCCTCCTCACTACTTTTTGTGTGTGCTGATGGTTAACGAATAGGCCGGACGTACATCAAAGCTGCCGTGCATAAAATATGCTAGATCGTGTGGATACTGGCTGTACAGGAAATTTGTCATTTTATATAGTAACAATCACTGACCTCTATATATACAAGTACGCTGTATATATAGAGGTCAGTGGTAACAATGCATGCGTTCGCTTTGTTGTCAATCCATTTAGATCTTTACACATATTCTCGCAACATGGTCAATAAAAGAAATAAAATTTTTATTACTTTTAGTCATTATATTATTAATAAAAATAGCTTAATATCTCACTAAGGATTTACATTTAATTCTCAACCAAAAAAAGGTTAAAAATCAAAAATAAAAAAATCTTAATGTTAGATCGCGAAAATATGACACAACTTATTGAAAAATATCAATTCCATACGTGTTTGTGGAATACTTCTAGTCCGGACTACATGAACAAACAAAAAATATAAAAATTAAAATCTTGTACAACTGACTTCAATAGAAACGGAAACAGAATCTTTTTTATTCAATGTAGATTATAACAATACTTATTGAAAGTCACTTTTTTTATTTACCACTGGTTCGCAAAAAAAATCTTTGTCCTGGGAAGAACCAGTAAGAAACCCAGCGAGACTATATTTTTTTCCAATAATAGCTTACAATTATTGTTACAATTAACAACACAAGACAAATTAGAAATAGCTTGGTAGCGATCACCCTTCCCACGGGTTATTATCACCCATAAATCACCCATAACCCTATTATCCTTAATATTATAATAACCCTTTTTTATACAAACTTAGTTTAATAACATTTTTGAACTTTGTACATGACATATTTTGTATATTTTCTGGGATTTTGTTGTAAAAGCGTAAACATCGCCCCAAGAATGAATTACTGACTCGGTGGAGTCGAGTAACTGGTACTACTAGTTTGCTTCATTTCCTAGTATTTACAGAATGAATATCACTTATTTTAGCAAAACTACTTTTATTTTTCAGTACGTACATTACATTTTCATAAATGTATTAAGAGGCGTGAGAGTTAATATATTAATTTCCTTAAATTTTTGTCTCTGTGACTCTTTTGGTTTTAAATTATATATTGCTCTAATGGCCCTCTTTCGTAAAATAAATATAATATCAGTGTCAGTTGCGTGTCCCCATAGCAAAATACTATACGACATAATGCTATGGAAATAACTAAAGTGAACTATTCTAGCTAATTCAACACTGGTAAGAGTTCTAATCTTTTTTACAGCATATGCTGCAGAACTAAGTCTGCTAGCTAGTTTTGATATATGGGGGAGCCATTGAAGCTTTGCGTCTAGTGTGATTCCAAGAAAAGTGGTGGTATCAACAAGACTCAGTTCCTCCCCATTTAAAATTACATTGGTATTAACGTGTTTGACATTAGGAGTTACGAATTTCATACATTTAGTTTTAGTTCCATTTAAATGCAAATTATTAATATTAAACCAATTGACAAACTTAGCTATAGCATTATTTACTTCGTCGTAATTTAGTAACTGTCGTTTTAATTTGAAAATTAATAAATTATCATCAGCAAATAATACTATATCATGGTTATCCCCTACTATGTAAGGTAAGTCATTAATATATACAAGAAACAGAAAGGGGCCGAGAATTGAGCCCTGAGGCACGCCCATTTGTACAATCGACCCGGAAGAACTTATACTATTAACGACAACTTTTTGCGTTTTGTCACTTAAATATGAAATAATTAATTTAAGAGCATCACATCTTACACCGTGGTGTTGAAGTTTCCTAGTTAATGTTTCATAGTGAACACAATCGAAGGCTTTGGATAGGTCACAGAATACACCCGAGATATATTTAATCAACTCAACACCAGCATCAGTTGTCGAGCGACCCCTTGTGAAACTGAATTGATTTTTATGAAGTAAATTATTTACATCGAATATATAATATATATACAGATTAATAATTTAATATACAGAAATAATAATATAATAAACAGATTTTTTTTTACATTTGATCAAGAATAATTTTTTCAAAAATTTTACTAAGTGTTGGCAGTACAGAAATAGGTCTAAAAATAGCATAGTCCAATGTACTACCAGATTTAAATAAACAACTTTACTATTCTTCATTAAATCAGGAAATACACCAGATTCGATACTAGTATTAAAAGTAATAGATAGTTAAGGTGCGATTGTATCTATTATATACGCAATAACTTTAACAGAAAAACTCCACAGATCGGTGGTTCCCTTAATATGAATAGTCTTAAAATATTTGCAAAATTTTTTGTACACGCATTTACATTTTGTATAAGTAATGATTCGGCTATGCCATGCAGTGGCGGTTAAGAATATCCACTACCCCATATCTTCCCGTGGGTGTCGTAAAAGGCGACAGAGGGAAACAGGCAGGAGATGGGCAGCAGCATCTTCCTGATAACAGCAACTGTAAGACAAAAAAAAACTGCGGTTGCCAACCCGCTCGCCAAGCGTGGCAACTATAGCAATATACCCCACATGAACAATTACACAAATAGACGGCCCCCAGTCCCCGGCGACCCCGCTATTCCTGGCTACGGTGACGACCATAGTAACGGCGGGGCAGGGGGTGCTAAGAACTCCGGTGGAGGTTCGGTTCCCACCTACGACGACTCGACCTGACAACATTTAACGCACGCACCCTGAGGACTGACGAGAAGATCCTGGAGCTGGAAGAAGAGATAGACAAGTTGCGCTGGAATATTATAGGATTATCCGAGGTCCGAAGAGAGGGGGAGGACACGGTGATTCTCGAATCCG